CATGACTGTTGTGGAAAACTTCCCCCACATAGACTGTAAAAAAACAATAGGAAAAATCAGCAACAGAAACTGAATGAGAAGATTAAGGTGATGACTGATTTCTTAATCTATTCATCAGAACACCTACTAGAGGGAATTTTTGTATCTAGTTAATCTGGTATGGATACAGTAGCTCTGAGGTACATTGTGAGACGCACACGTACTGAACACCAAACAAAGGTTTCCGATTTCAGAAAGACTGAAGGAATGAGACAAGGAGGAGTGGACTCAGGATAGGTCTGGAAGAGAATGGGAGACAACAGCTTAAAGAGGTTCTTCTTGCTTGAAGCAAAGAGATTGACCAAATGCACAAATGGTTTTATACATTATTAGAAAAATATAGAAAATGGAAGAAAGAACTTTTATAAAATAATTCAAAACTAACAGAATACACGTAAGGACAGGCAGTGCTATAGAATAAAATGGAAAGGCCAAGTGACAAGTGAGGCAAAGATATCAAAGCAGAAAAGACAATGTTTTGTAAAAGTGACCCATTTTCACTAAACAATACTGGGTTATAAAATGGAACTATAAAGTGGTAATGACAAAATATTTATTTTTAAGTTATAAAAATGCCTTCTTTTTGTTTCTTGAAAAGAGCTAATAAAAATGTTTTCTTCCTACCAGCCAAACAATGTCAAATAAAAGCTAATTAATTTAGAACATATACAGTATGCATTTATATGTCAGATGGAGAGTGCAAAAATTTCAGAGAAAATGTGATTATAAGCTTCTTCCTTGCTCAGTGCATCACTTTGTGATTATTTTATCTAAAGGAAATATCTAGTAATTAAAAAGGAAAAAATCTAAATCACACACTTTCGAGCAATTTCAGCTTTTTATCCGGATTTGAGCCTGTGTTGATTTGCCTATATACTTTGACTTTAATTCATTACTCATGCCTTTGAGTACTGCAGCTAAGCAAAGGCTTCTCTAGACTGAATAACAAAGCTGTGCCACCTTCCTGCAGGTGATGAAAGGAGCTTACTCAAGCTTGGAGTTCTCGGTATTGCAAAGACTTGGAGCTGGAAAACAGCTCAACAAACTCTACTGACAGCAGCCAAATTCCTTAATCATGTCCCACGGTGCAGCTTGCACCCCCCTCAAGGGGAATTCAGCTGCTGACCTCTTGAGCCCCACATATTCATAACACATCAACCCAGCAAAACGTCCCAACTCCAAACCGTACAAGGTGCTTTCAAAACCTTGTTGAAAACTGTGGGCTGGGCTGTATCAAAGTAACAATTATTATATTATTATACATCATGAGTCATTATTTAGATGGATAATATTAGAAGGATAGTAAGAATATTGCAAGCAAAAATTGCTACATAACCCACACTATGGTTAGCTCTGGAAAAATCTGTTTTGAAACAATTAACCACCTAGAAAGCCTGGCTCCTATCATAGCTATTCTAATATAGCATTCTATTGGTAATGAAAGCCTGGATATCAGCATTAAACTCACTAATAACATTTGAGAGACCTTGCTAGTACGAGGAAATAGAGCAAATTACGTAATTTCAGTCACAGGAATAGATCTGAAAATAAAACAAAAACCAAAGAAATAGTGGAAGAACCAGATGAGAACCAGATGAGTTTTGTGCCTGCTCATTTCATGATAATGCATTCATTTCATTTTCATTTCAGAACATGATGCATCTTCTGTGTCTGTGCTACGGTTCATTTAGGATCAAGCAGAAAAAAAAGCAGAGGACAAACACCAGAGTATCCAAAATTCTGAACAGAGGAAACGGCCATTGCTATCGACATGGCGAATACTAGTCAACTCTGTGGGCTCCAGGCCAGAGCCTTCTGGGAACAGATGAAAAGGTGTCTCCTCCCAGAAACTGGATTAGACTTTAGCTAAAGACAAATGACTCAAGAGGTACCACTGAGGTATAAAAGGCAAAAGTATTTTTTTCTCGTCATTGTTTGCATTATAGGGCAGAGCAGTGGTGAGTATTTTTAATTAATATAAAATCGTACGATTTTACTGCGCAAATGCACACATCATCAATCAGTGTTTGCTTGTGTCGTGTTGCTGCTGCTACTTTGTTGCTCACAGCCTCTCTGTGCTAGCTTGCTTCCAAACACCGGCCACGTGCTCTGCTGGGGAACAGCCAGAATCGATAGAGCCTGCTCAGCAGACCTCTGCCACGCCCCAGAGCAGCGTGACGAAACAACATGCTGACAGCTTGCAATTATCACTGGGAATCATCCGAGTAACCAAGCTCACATCAATGATTCACATCCTGAGAAAAACTCTCAGCACAAATAACAGCTGCCTCACAGGCTAATGTGCCTCACCAGTGTGTCATTTTAATTGATCCTGGTAAGCGTTTCCTTTGTGATTTCAGCAAACTCTGTAAGGCATTTTAAAGGAAAAAAACACACCAAGAAAGAGCAACCGTTGAGATCCTAAATAATTTGTCCCCAGAGGTGGTTGGAATGACTTATCTTTACTTGTTGTGTGGCATGAAGGCTCAAACAAGCAAAGCCCTTTTCTTCTCAGGAGTCTGCAACACAAGCTAGCACCAAAACACTTAAACTCTTGACCACACAACCCAGCACAGCACCGGGACCAGGAGACTGCTACAGACTTAAATTTACTGACAAAATAATGGTTTGAATGATTAAACAAAAAACAGACCTGTTGCAGTTATTAGAATTTCATAATAATGAGGAGGAGGTTTCTCCCTATCCTTTTGAGTTCAGAAATGAGGCTAAATAACCCATTGAAAGCAAGAACCCATTTCATGTAAATTGCTTATGCGGATTATTAATTTAATGATCAGCAGAAAACATTCCTCATCTGTGACAGCTGTCCATAGAAATCCAGTTATCCTCCGATAAAAGTGTATTCTGGAAATGCTGATATTATTTCACTGTCTATGTACAGTACTGAGCTAGACTGACAAGAACAGTACGATACAGCCCTCCGGGAGATCTACTCTGGTCTTACCGGCAAGTATAGCAAGACACCATGAAAGCAACGCAGATTCACAGGACAGCACAGTGACAAGACATTTCTATATGGAGTTGACAAAACCCATAGAAAAAGTATCAAGATTTAAAAGGGTGAACATCAGCGTTTCACTAGGGTAGCATATACCACAGGGGATGTTACGAGCAGATGGAGGCTAATGGCCTGTCTAGCTTGTTCGGTTGCTAGTAAGTCAGTGATCCCCAGATATCTGGCAGCAGCAGGATCTAGAGACAGAAAGGTGAAAACATGGTTTGTGTGTCACATCACCTGAGTAGCCGCACACTGGCTGGGCCACCTGGTCAGAAAGCTGTGCACATCGGCGCCTGTGCGCAGCCCAGCTGGGTCTCCACAGGCCTTCACCCAGGAGGAGCTGCAGAGCATCAAGACGATGAGAAGAAAGGGCTGGGATTTGGAATAAATATTATACACAGGGTGTTCACTGAGCACCCAGGGCAGGGTCTGTATTAGGCCCACTGCTTGTCCTGATTTCCAACGACGATCTTGCCTCCGACATACTTCATCACGGAGGACACACTCATAGGAGGGACAGCCCACGCTGTGGGGAGGAATACAGAACACTCAGGGCCGGAGGGAAGCCAGCGCAAGGGCTATGTCCAGGGTGTGAAAACAAACCCTCCAAACGGTTTGAGTGGGGAGCTGTCAGAGCGCGAGCTGCAAAGGAACAGGTTTTCGTGCTGGAACGTAGAGGGAGAAGTTACAAGTCCTCAAAATCCTGAAAGAGTGAGAAAGTTGCAAAATGAGTTACTTTGTACTCAGCAGCAAGAGCAAGAGGTACAGAGTGGTGCTAAAGCCAGGTCCCTAGAAACCTTCATAAACAGCTGGATTGTTCCCTAGAAATCAAACAGGCACAATGCCGCACACTGCTTCCTCTGGCTTATAGCTTTCTGTTCTAAAAAAGATTAAGATGAAAATTCAAACTAATTAAAACGTCACAAACTTTAAACACCAGAATGAGGGTCGTGCACATATAAACCACAGACTGCACTTCAGTTCAGTGACGCGACTTCACGCAAATCGTTTTGTTATACTGCCCTCTGGTGGACAGCAAAATGAACTCCATGCCAACACAGCCACGACATCCAAGATTCATTGACCAGTCCAACACAGGCGAACTAACAAGCTACCTGACTGGAACTTTTTAATGTTTTTATTTCTACTCAGAACTTGGAGGTCTAAAGTTACTTAAGTTAAAAGGCAACCTCCAATATAGGTAAGAGTGAAAAAAGAAGAGCAATAATTATTCCAATTAGACTAGTTAAAAGTCAATTTATGTAACAGAGCTCAGCTGGCACAGAATCCAGCAGGCATGGGGTCCTCAGGCCAGAAAAACAGACCATTATATAAAAGCATTAAACAAATGAACTGGTTAATTGGTTATAAAAATAAACTCTTCAGTGTTTCATTGATTTTCTAATACTTTGCCATGCTCTCTCAGACACTGAAATACTGTCCCAATAAACGCGATTTCAGTGACATGTGAATTGCTCTTCTGCATATAGATCTGTAATGGCACAATTCTGTACGCACAGCAGCACAAAAAATCTGCAAGCAAAAAAATAAAGTGGAAAGCGTGGGAGAGTGGAACAAGCTGCCCAGCCTACGACAGCTTCACGGGAGAAACTGCAGGATGAGATCCTGGATCAATCGGCTCTACCCACCAAACGGGAGCGTGGGCCTGCCCAACTCGCTTGTGACTGCTCTGAAGTGACAATCGGAGCAAGACGTAACGACACAAGAAAAGGCTTTACACGTCCTTTAACTGTCTTAAATCACATCTGAAACTGCAGGTCCCTTGGATTTGGACAGTGAGCTCCAGAGGCATCAGCCCAAAAGGCTGTGAGATGGAGCTGTCTGGAGTCTGCTCAGCCACGCAAAGTAGCTGAAACTTTCAGAGTAGGAGAAAACTGGAGATCTAAAAACACGAAGGTTAAAATGAAGTAAACAATCAATATCCACAATACAACCCTTTATAATGCACCATTTAAATTAAATCTACATAGTACAAATGCAATTTAATACAATGTTAATACATAAAAAACTGGTTACATAAGACACATTATGTAAGTGTAACAGAATGTCTTCACAAAATACATGACTGTATAAAACCATACAGATCAGTGCATTAACATGTAGAGAATTTCATTTCAGCATGTTAAGGTAACTTCCAGTTTGACAAGCACTGTATCCAGTACCAAAGCAGATGTTTTTATAATTTATTATATGTACTCCCTTTTCATGATATTGTTTCACATTACTGCTCCTTGTTCATAATATTCAATATTAAAAATAAAAAACCCATACCCAAGTCTAGCACTTTTCATAGCCTCTAAAACAAAACTGTAAAAATTTCCTGGGAATTATCAACACTTAGTATGATTTAACAAAAATTGAGCATACGTTCAAAAACAAGACAGAGAAAGCAACAATACTATAGGTCTGACCATCACAGAATGTGTTTAATCTTTCTGTACCATTGGCACAACAACGTATACAGGACTTGAATACTGCCGTAATTGTCTACATGTGATACACACTATAGTACAGATTTGGACAATGATCTCTGTATTTCTGTGTAGATATAATCCAAGTTTTTTTTTCTGTTTACCTGTTGTGTTTTATTATACATTAAAAAATGAAACAATGAAATTCAAGGCAACATGGATTATAGTTGTAGTTCAAAAGTTAAGGCACACTCAACATCAGTACAATGTCATTTTCCCCAACCAGCAGCATCTATTTAACATTCTTAGTTTAGTATTTCAAAGTAGTATCTGGTAGAAGATTGAACAACAGTCTATCCTTAAAACACCAGTTCACAATTCAAATGCAAAAAACAGAAAATAAGACTCGAATTAACCAATTATCTAATGAGATCAATTATTTTCTTTTGTTCACCAGCACAGGTAAAGTAGAACTATACGAAAGGCCTTTCAGATTCTGTGGACAAATATTTACTACTCCAATGAAACAGCCATTTGAAGCAAAATGAAGTTCTTATATTATGGTGCTTTTTGACATAATGCTTCTGTTGCTGACTGGATTATTCTGGGGTGTGCTGGAACATTTTTCCCCACAACACAACAGGGTCAGAGGTCCAGTTTGACACAGTAAGAACAGCAGCAGGAGGTGTTTCAGTTTGAAATGACAGTTCGGTCTAATTTGAAAAATAAGACTGGTTGAAAAAAGTAGTTTAGAGTTGCTCTCTTGGAAAATTGCTCTCACCAAAATGAGATGGGGCTCTTCAAATCTTTTGCAGCTGTAATTTTTGTTAAACATCCATAATTTAGTAGTGACAACTGTACTCCTCTTTAAACCTGCCAACAAGAAACCTATTCCTTTTGAGGCAATGTCCCTGCTGCACACGCTGAGGACCATGGTCCCTTCTGCCCTACTGGGGAGACTGCGGTACATATTTAATTAACACTGTTCATTAGACAACTGTGGGAATACAGTTCTCTAGCGAAACTGCTCAGAAGAGCTATCCCTGATAACAACCCACACAGGGACCGGTGCCTGACTCTTTCACCAATGTAATAGCATGCACAAGGGTTCACAGGTGTATACCAGCTGCTGTTAAAGGATACACGGTTATAAACACTGGAATGCACCCACTTTCTTACCTGCAAGTACATGCAAGTGTATGTAATAGGTAAAATGCACTAACCACCAAATATCCACCAATGACTGTGCTGCAGAGAAACTGGTTTGGAAGCAGCTTCTTCAACGTGGTTAGTTTACTTTTCATTAGTTTTCAATTTTGTATAAAGGTTTGGTTTTTCTGTTGTCATGAAAAGAGAATCAAGTTGATACTTTACACTTACTGAACTGCTTTAATCAATAAAGAATTAATAAATCTTCTGTTATTTATCCAAACAGATGGTATAAATTCCATGACTAAAAAACTTGTATAAAAAATATCATTTTGTTTAGCAAAGAACCCACAGTCTTTGCATGGGTGCTTGGCTTCTGAAGAAAACAGTCAGCCGAGCCTCGGACTGAGCAAGACAATCAAGCGATCCCTGATCATTAAAAGACTGTATTAAAGCCAGTTCAGGCATACTATACCGGTAACTAAATGCATATTCAACCCAAAGGTTTTAAATAATGCTGTATGTGAAAAATAATAATATAAACAAAAAAACACTAAGGACATATGTCAGGATCACATAACGATACATCCATTTACTTTGAAATATCTGGAAAAAACAGTCTAATTCCTGCCAGAATAAAGCCAGCCCTACACTAGATATAAAAACCTGCAGTATGCAATGAAAACTTGGGAGCAAGTGAAAAACCAGCTGGTTTTATTTCCCATTGTCTGATGGGCATGTTCCAAATAATATATGCCCAACAGAAATGTTTGAAAATGTGTACTAAATTTGAAATCTAATCCAATTAATACAATTTAGCGGTACACATACTCCTGAAACTACGTGTTAGAAAGCAAGAAAAGCAATAGTATGTACTGTAGGTATTATCTTACCACTCTTTCCAGTTCACTTATTAGCTTTTTTAAGCCCCTTATTGGACAATAACACGTGATACACACATACAGAATAGTCTGTGTAGTCATTTTGCACAGAGCAGATATTAAGGTAATGTTAACTGGACATATTTAAAAAGCACCCCTTTCTAGTATTAATCTGCTGACAAACAATGAAAGGTATAATCACTTGCACTTTGTTTGATAAAGTTTTAAAAAAAAGTCAGCCTGCTGTTTTATGCTCTTCAGTGCCGCTGAACCAGACTAATAATATCACAGGCCCTTGAGCACCTCCGAGTCAAAATTCCATAACCTACCATGCGTTAGGGGAAAAAAGCACAAATCTTAAACCCATCACATTCTTGATTAGCAGGTTCTAAGCATCGATCACCAGTTTGCAGTTTTATCGTATTCATGTCTGTTGGCTGGCCTCAGTAAAGTATGCACTACAACACCCTTGTATGGCATTTACCTACAGGCCCATTTTTGAAAAAATCATCCAACAAACACTAATGCCTTGATTATAAAGTGAAAGCCACCTCCAGTTTTGTGACCAGCTCAAAGATTCTTTCCCTTTCCACTAACATGATTCTGTCAACAATTAAGGTTACTGGACATAAAGAGCTACAGTATGTAACTACTATTAATCACCAAGTAATCACTATGTTATCGTTACAATGTAGCATCTGATGAACTTCTTTCGTAACGAAATGTTTCAATATTGCAGGACTGGTTTATTATCAAATTTGTGTTTTCTCTTGGTATTACAGTGGTTTTAACAGAAAAGAGTCAAAGAGCTCTTAAATACATAGCTATTTCTGCTTTGTAAACTGCAGCCATAATTATAAATATACACTCAAGTGTGTCTTTATAAACACAATCTCCACCATATCATTTGACTAAATGTTCACCCCTAGAAGAAACCATAAAAATAAAACCAAACCATTCCCTGTTATCCATACTAAATGCTAAATCTTGCACTCGTGGAAATTCAAGTATCCCTCCAAATCAAGAGATGGGAAACTCCTGGCCTCCAGCCACTGGAATCAGCTGTAACTGGGATGCCGTCCTATTGCCTGGCTCTGGAGCGTGTGCTTGCCACAGGCTTGGTCCTCACTTTCCCTTCCCCCTCACTTCTTCTTAGGAGGCTCCACTCGGATCACAGGCCACACTCCACATATGAACTGCGAACAAAGCCAGAGGTCAGGTCAGCAGGGTCTTCACCTCAAAACTGTACTTGAACTAAGCAGCACTTACAGATTTTATTGCGTTCATGCATGCACTGCTTCCATCAGTACAGCACCTTGCAGCCAGACATGTAAAAAGAACTCAATTTACAGCACAGGAGTGGCATGACACTATGCACTTCTAAAATGCAGCGCCCATTCGGGAAGGCGATCCATTTTTCCATTTACCTTTTGTACCTGTTTCCTTATTTTTCAGAAAAAGAAAAGAGAATAAACATACCTTTACATTCGGCCTGTGCTTGAGGTAGGTTGTTCGAGTATAGAGGCTGTGAAGAGGGAGGAAAGCAAACTGAATTGCAGTTTAACACATTCTTAAAGAATGGAAAAAATATATTTCTCTCAGTACTCAGCTATACAGAACAGTAATCTCCGCATTCGATAGCATATTCGGTTACCGCAACGGCACACTATTTTACAGCTTTCCTCATGGCAAAAAGGTTTGATGCCAGATCAACAGAATATTACCATACTGTTACTGTCTGTATACCATACTACTCTTTAGCGTGACGGATATACAGCATTACTCCAGTAATTGTCTATTGACCGCAGGTAGGAAAATCTTACCTAAAAAGAATGTGCAGGTAGGACCCCAGGCCTGTCAGAATGTGCCACCAGGCGTGAAACTGGGTGACTGCACCAACAACAGCAGGGAGCCTCAGACGAGCTTCTCTGGAGGAGAAGGACACGTGCGATATAAACTGGACGCTCTTAGCCAGTCAATACAGCAATAACAAAAAGCAACAAAAGCTCATCAGTGAATTCAACCAGCATGATTCTGAATGTGCTTAAGTGGGGGGTTGTGTTTTTTCTGGTTGCTTTCTGGCCGCAAGCCTGTTTCAGCAGCTGCTGTTATTGGTGACATACAACACACTTTTGTACACAAGAGTGAAGAACTGCACAGCTTGATTCCAAACCAAGCACACTATTTAAGATCTTATTGCAGAAAAACACATTTTTCACTTTTTGAAGTCCTGTAATTCTATTCGGCAAATGGTTTCTTACCTCAGGGTATCACAGAAGATGTTGTCTATGTTCCACAGTAAGAATCCCATCATGAACACACTCAGGGATGTGTAGGACAGTGGCCTGAGCCAAGGGTACACCCTGACAGCAGGATAATAAATATCTGGGATTATATGTCATGGCACCTTAAGTAATTAAGAAATGCATTAAAATGTATACAATTTTAACAATACGCTTTACACCATCAGTCCGATACTTACCATGTAACGATGAATACAGATCGCAGAACTAGGCATGCCACCAGTATACCATACATCACCTGGGTGAAAACAGATACAGAAATCTGCATTCATAAATCCAGCAACTTTAATGTTCAATAATAAAAAAAACTTTCCTTTAAAGTACAAAATATTTAAGTCATGTTTCTAAGGGACTGGTACAGGCTGACGTATCTTGCTAACCTACAATTCACTAGGAGCAGTAGATACTAATCAGGTTCATTCTCCACTCGTCTCTCCTAGTAAACGTCAGTGGTTGAACACACTGTTCCATGTTAAGACACTGACTTTGTATTTGATCCTTTAAAAGATCTGCATAGCTGTGTATCTTTTCTGCTCCTGCATACCACAAAGCAAAAACCCACTTTGCTGTCCCACTGATGTGCCTTGCTCTTCTGAGCCCAGGTTTCCGACTAGCTTGCTTCAAGCTGCAGAGTAATTTTCTTCAGAACAGTGGGTGATCAAATTAAAATTTTCTACCTGGGCAATTCACTTCATTCAAATAAAACACTTATTTAATGTAGCAGGAAGGAGATTTGAAAAATGTAATTAAGTCTCAGAATCGTTCAGTGATTCTGTCAGTTACTCAGTGTCAGTATTTGTGCTGGCTCTGTTACCAATTTTAGGATAACAGGGTGACTGCAGATTTTGAAATTAATGCACTTGATTCTGCCAATTAAAAAATATATGCATTTCCACTTTCCTAGTAAAATTGCTCTATTTGTCATCCTGAATCATTGTCATGACATCAGTGTCTTAAAATAGGTGGAAGGCTAGAGTTGTATGTACTGTGCAGGTTTATAAAGTTTAAAGGTCAGGTGGGGTGGTCTGCAGACCTGTACTGTACATAATGCTTTACTGCATGGAAAACACTACTAAAACTTTATATTGTTTTTAGAAGCTTTATAAAGCTAAATGTTGGTTTTAATTGTTTTTGGTAACAAAACACTACGATATTTTGACATTTCTGCAATGAGTGAAATTTTCTGCAATATTTAAATATAAAAATCAATGTACATCTTGGGTACAGCCTTGAACTGTCGCTGCACAACACAAACTGAGATAAGCCTTGTAGCGTCTTTCTTGTATTTGAATACTTTAATGAGGCTTCACAGTGCACATTTTTGTTTTTATTGGTAGCCTCCTCATTCACTCTCTCTGCAAATTCAGTCGCAGTGGGTGAAAACGAATATATTAAGTTACTTATGCGCAAACTGGCTCCTGTTCAAAGCCCATTTTTCTGACATTCAGTTTATCATCAGGTGTTCAAAATGCATCACAGTGGCCAGAAGGTAGTGAAGCAATCACAGCTGACCCTTGCTACAACAAGATCACTTGATTTTCAGATTACGAGTCTGAAATTACATCTTAAACTTTAAAAGAAGAAAAGGTTTACTTTTGAATTTCTATTGTTTATTTCCACATATACTGAACACACACCAGAATGTCAGCTGGCACTGAATGAAATTAAAAATGAGTTCAAGCTACAGAAGCAGGCTAAAAAGACGCACTTTGGCAAAATTCCTTTATATTATTTCTGCATTAACCTGCATCAGGTTATACATATAAAAAGAAGAATAAGCTCTGTGGTGTGTAGCACGTTTGTATTGATCTGACATGTACATAACTACAAATTACAGTCAGGGGAAAATAGGTGATTACAGAAAAGTGGTATTTCTTATCAATTTCTAGGATGGCATTTATAATCAATCAAGTCCAATTTTCAAAAGGAGATTAGTTCTCACAAACCCCTTGTATTACCAATAACTATAAAAGCTTTTCAAGGTTTTACAGGGCTCAAAGAGTTATAGATCCTTCTCTTATTTTCTCTATTTAAATATGTCATTTTAGGCTGTGGAGTTGAAGAATGGCATTAAAGAAAAATAGCACATTTAAAGTTTGTTTAGAAAAAGCAAGCCAAAACCTTCCACAACAATTCAGAAGTCAATCAAGTCTGAAATGTAAACAGGCATCACAATTTGTCAGACATCTCATTTCCATTTGCAAAAAGCATGGTGCAGAAAAGGGCAAGGAAATGCATTCGAAGAAATTATTGCTCTAAGGCACAGTTTATGTTTTTCTATGAGAAATACAATCAGAGCTTTGGGTCATACTAAATAACAACGCCATTTGCTCAAAGTAATTAAAAACATTATGCTTCTGATAAAAACAATAAATGTTGCAAATATTACACAGGTAAATGTTTTATATTATTTTAATACCTACACAGTCCTTAACATCATACAGCTTTTGAAAACAAATACTTCAGCTGTAGAAAGGGCACTACAAAATAGTATTTACAAAGGCCAAATAATGTACACAAAAGTCTAAAAAAGAGTTACTGCACACAATAACATTAAGATTAAATGCAGTCTGTACTAATACCATATGATCTATAATTGGGTGTAGAAAAACCATTGATTTAAAATTTAAATTTAGCTGAAAAGCACAGATGCCAGGCAGACCAGCACTATGTTCAAAGTAATACCAGCTGCAGCAGCACCAGCTATATAAGGGACTGCAGCTGTTGTAAGGACACTGGAGCCCGATTCTTATCCACCTCCAAGATGAGCCATGAGAAGTGAGTTTGAATTTGAAAAGAGTTCACGCCACTATTTAGTTCTATGCATTCAACAATCTTTCTCAGGACACCCCTTTCGCATTTTAGCCTATATTATAAATGAAAATGCTTTCATATCCGCACTTTATCTTTTTTCCATAAAGTTTCAAGAAACAACAGTAGATTTCCATTCTTTTACTTAAACCTGAAGATTTGTAGAGTGTCTATCTTAACACCCAGCACATACTGTGCATTTGGTAATATGCCGAGACAAGAAACAACTAATTTGATGCATTTATCAATATATTATTCAACAAGCTTTCACTCTGGATTTCAATATAGTTGGGAGAAGTATTTTATAGGTTCAACAGATGAACTTGTATTCATCTTTATTCCATAAATCTGTCCACTTAAGAAAAAAAAAACAGCTAAGTCAGTCATTTAACAGGTGATAATTTAATGGGTTTGGCAAGGAGTGAGGTGAGACCCACCTTCTTGAGAGCCGGTTCTTGCCATATTTCTGAAAATTTATACCATAATACAAAGACAAACTTTTACCAGGCAGTGGAAGGGAATTTCAGCATCAAGCATTGAGTATGCAGGATCAAGCTATGTTCAAAGCAGAGGATACATTTTTACAATGTCATCAACAGATTGCCTAAACTCAGATACATCGATTCCACCACAGTGAAGTACAAAAGCTGAACACTTTATTAAAATACAACAGTACTTATTTTATATATATATAGATTAACGAAAAAAAACAAAAATGTAAATCGCTATCTGCTAATTTTTTTGGTGGTTTCTTTGCAGTGGAATCAAATTAATTGTGTAATTACAACAAATAGCCACCAGGTGGTGCCAAGTTAATGCTCAATTACTATAAACGGCATAAAGGGACATTTTACCACCATTAACATCTCAAACACCTTAACTTTTTATTCCCTGAGGAGTTTATGGTTCAAGTCTCTTTCACACCGTTGCATGAATAATATTCAACCTGATGTGCACTGAAACTGTGAGATAAATGTATTTGTGCAAAATCTCCACCAGTGGACCAAACCAATGAAGGCAAGACAGGATAGAACCTTAGTCATGTTTTTAAACAATGAATAAAACTGATTTTTTTATATGCAGTTATCCTAAAATGAGGCATTCTGTCTTCCTCTGAGCACTTTTTATAGTGTCAGCACTTGCACTGTTAGAATTAATGCATTATATTACGACCGAAAAGGAACCAAATTACTGGACATTTTGGTGATGGCCATGCAGCATCCAAATTAACAATCAAGTGCACTTAAAAATAAGATCCCCAAAGTGTTAAGGGATCAAAAGAAGAAATGCCCCAAAAACCATTAATTTAGCAATGTCTAATTAAGGAGACTGTAAAAAGAAAAAGCAATGTTTTGTGGCTAACAAATCCTAATAGATAATTGAAGAGCGACTAAACAATATTACATTTGCTTAATAAAGACAAAGCAAAAAACACTTCCATTTGTAAGTTTCAGAAAGTAAATATCTATTGTGTGCTGCACAAAAGACATTTCCAAATGAAAACAGATCATTAAAATGCATGAAAGAGAAACAAAAGAGATGGCAAAAAGGCTACACGAAAAAAGACTTTCCAAAAATGAGATCTGAACTGCTTCCACACTTCCAGCCTCTTCATGTGAGCTGAAGAAAGCAGCTGTTTCACGCTATGGGAATCACCACACAGACCCACAGCACAGCTGCACTTGTTCACAGGGACAGCATGTTCACAACATAAACATCAATTCGTTATTGAGAGACCAGCCCTGAGAAGACGGAGCCAACATGAAGACTGTGGCAGGCCTACCTGTGTAACTAGCAAAACTAAAACAGTGATGGAATCTGTACAGGCTGTGTAAAACACAGCAGGAAAATGGGAGATAAGAAAGAAGAAATCAGAGCATATCAATGTTTAAGGAAGAGTTTCATTGAAAAGCTACCACTTTACCCTGTCATCCGTCCATTGATTTTAAATTTTTATTAAAATCTCTTAGCAGTTTGACCATTAAATGGCATCCTTAAAATCACTGTGTCATCAATTTATTTCTCCCAACAAGAGACAGCTGAAATGGTCACAGTGGATATATTCTTCTCAGTGTGTGTGTTAACATGCATGGATGGATAACAGACCAACCGGCAGGCTAGAAGGTGTCATAATGGTATCCTGTTACTGCTAGCGAGACCTGATTCACTGCAAAATACGGCATGCACTGAACGCTTCCTTTTTAAGGAAGCAGTAATGAAGAATTTAAGTATCTTCAAATCTTTCCAAATGAAAATGTTTGGTTTGATGTTGCAGGACGAAGGAGAGAGCCGTACAATAATACCTGAAAATACCTTCAAGACAAAGCCATTTGTTCAGCTCATGGCCTCTTTCCTGCTCTGAAAGGCAGCAGCTTTTCTCCTTTGCAGTTCCTCAACACCTCAGCCTGGATTATGATAGCTAAGCATTAGTGTTTTCAATTACAAATACTTTTCTCATCACTAGCTTCCTTAATTTATCTTACAAATGCCCCACACTTGGCCCAGTGTTATTTATAGGTGACAGGACAGGTTTCAGCAAGCTGCAGGTAAAAATGAAGAGCTACTACAACCAAACTACAAAAAACTGCGTTATAGGGATTTGTTTTGCAGGGATTAAGTGCTCTTTCAATTGGGCAATCCAAGAGAGAGAATTACAAAGGAAACTGGAAAAGACAATGCAAAACAATAACTGTATATAAACTTCACAATAATCTAACAAATAACAGGCCCCTAAACTATTATGACCAAACACTTATACTTCTTTAACAAGAATGAGTAAAATCCTCAGGGTAAAAGCTCATACATGGTAACAGGAACAAGAGCTCACTCATTTTCCAGGGCATTTGCAAAAACTAGTCCTACGCTGTGAATCTTAGCTCATCAAGTCAATAGAAACAACAAAATCTCCAGTAAATGGTACAGAATATTAACAAATACAAAACTCAAAACTTAATTTGAAAGTGTAAAGATTTCATCTAAGTTAAATGCCTTACAATTAAACAGAACTATACTTTTTCAGTATCCCCGCAGAAAATGAGAACATGGTTAAAGCCTACTGACGCACAGAAAGCGCGGGCTAACAGCAGGCCCTAATTACTCACAGACAAACCTCAGTAAAAACTTGGGAACATCAGAGATTACCACATTCATTCACCACAATTGAGTATTCCAAAGGAGAACAAGCCCCTGAGCTGTTAACCTGAGCATTACTGGGTATTTCCTGTAGCTGGCAACTTGAGTCACAGATCCTCTGACAAGAGATCCTGATGGAGAGCAGATGTTGGGGGAGAACATGGAAAGACTATGTGCTCCCAGGGGATATTAAACTTTTCCCTGCTATTTTATAACCAATCACGTCCACCACTACAAAATGTGATGCTAGCTTTTGAAATCTCATCTCTCTGAATGGAGCACAGCTGTTAAGACAGAACTGAGCCTGTTTCACACAGCTGGAGAAGATTAGACCAGGAGGAAGAGGGGTGGGGAGCCTGTCAGGGCTCCCTACCGGTCCTTAGGAATAGGAGGACTAGAGACTTTCAAATAAACAAAACCAGTCTCCTTATGCAGACAACACTCAACCAAAACCTCACACATTACCTCTGTTCACTATCTTCTAATCTAGTTCCAGGTGCTAATCCGGGATCATCTATTTTTGCTCAAGATGGAATAAAATACGAATTTTTATGTATATGTATATTTCTGAATATATTGTTTCCAAGCATCTAAACCAAGACGACTTATACATATAAAGAAATGGATGCTTTCAGTACTTGAAGTGCAGTCTGCATGACACTGTGTAGAATGGTATGCAGAGCTTGCAGTCTAAACAACCATCAGAAGTACCAGCAAAACAAAGCAGTGCATTGACATGTTCTCTGCAGAGAAGAGAAAAGCAGCATTAAGATGATGGCAGGGAACAATGTCTCCTGCCTACCACACACCTTCTGTAGCATTTACCTCCAGAGACAGTTTATCTTATGAGATTTAATATTTAAAAAGTTTCCCCTCCTGACAAAAACAATTTAATATAGAAACTTGTCTCTTTAAGTTTTAATTGCATATTCTAAAGAATGGAACAGTTTTCCTCCATAAAAATGTTTTAAGCAGACAGGAAAACAAGAAAATGCAGGCATTTATACAAAAGGCAGAAATGGCCAAAGCTAAGACTTCATACCTACCTGCTTAGGGTGAACCTAAGAATTCCTACAGATTTTTGTCAGTGACACCCCACAAAACTGAAATCTTTTTAGGTCCTCGAGTCATCATAATTAGCATACTAGCATTTTTAGTGGAAAAATAAACCATTATTTGTAACTTTTGAGTATGTGGAACAAGCTGATGACATTCATGTACATTTATGAAATACATTCAAAACAAGTTTGGACTGTGATGTGACATATTAAAATGAGAAAAACGTCTGATTTTGTCAGTGGGCCAGCCTCAGAGACAGCGGAAGGACTTGTATTGCAGTGATTTCCCGGCACAGAAAGAAGTGCAAAGGGGGACTGCGGTTTTCATCACTGTTTTCACGAGGGGCAAATTAAAAACAGCCAGTTACAACCCCAGTGAAGAATTAAACACACAGCAGAAGGTGGTTTGTGCAATCTGAGAAAAACAGCCAGTGTGTTTGAAAGGTAACAGAAACAGAAAGGACATCTTCACTTTTCTTATTTTTCATTTTTTTCTATTTTTCAAGTTATTTTTGCACTTGTCAAAATATGCAGTAGATGTCTGTCAATACAAAAGAAGCACATACCGTTACCAGTAGTGGATGTTTTCAATTACGCCATGCCACGGCGCAGTCTTCTGTGGTAGATGATATTAAGCAGTCTGCCTTTCATGGGCACAGATGCAGTGCTTTTTAAAAAAAGCATACTCTTTCTTTTGTTTATATTCTGCGGCAGTGCGGGCTCATCAGCAGCTGCTGTCAGCGTGTGCGAGTACAGGAGGCCATGCCCCTGTCCAGCCCCGACCACTGAAGAGCTCCCTGCAGGTCTCAGAACCTTCAGACATCCTTCTCCACTACTGACCACCACCATCACGCAGCCGAAACCTATGCATCCATTACTCCAAAAAGTAAGGGGGAAAAGCACACCCAGTGATCCCTAATTAACATACTAACCTGGTGGAACACTGGCTCCTTCCATTGTAAGTATACCTGCAATATAAAGTCACATGCGTGTTAACACATTTCACTTTTATACACATTACACATACTGCACATAACCATTATTTATTATGTTAGATTATCATCCTAAAACGTTACATTTTACATTTTAGGATTCAAATGTAGAACATATTCCTGACGATTAGGGTTTGCCAACAGGAAGTTCCTACGAGTATTCCTGTGCTAGCTTTGTGTCAAAATAAACAGAAATGGAGTTGTCAAGGGGCTTCTGAAAGGCATCTCTCAACAAAAAAAGAGATTTTTTTTCCACCATGAAAAATCTCTCCACAGGAAAAGCAGTCAGTGGAGTCATCAGTGGAGAGTATTTTGGGAAAATAGAAGTAGTTGACGGGTTTGAAAAAGCAGCTCCATAAACAGGAACCCAAATTCTATAGTTTCAGAATGATGAACGCTGACAATTATTTGGCAGCAGCATCAGTTTCTGTTCCTCTGACTCAAAAGCAATTCAAAGTGAACCTACCACAGTAACTAAAACACTGAAGACCAGCAGGAGGACAATGGGAAAATAATTCATTGAGCTCTTCTGCTTGAAACACTCATATCTGAAATGGTAAAGAGTTAACATTAGTCCTCAATTATCAAAATAAAAAAAATAAAAAATTCCAAGCAATAGGACAAAGACATGCAAATCTTAAAAGTGTCTGAAAGTGACCAATTCTGAAACAGCTCATTTGAATGAGGGGCTTGGCCATTTGCCATCAGAACTACAGTAATGACAATCTTTCAGTGCAGATAATCTTAATGAACATTAAAAACTGGCTTGACTGTCATTCTAACATCTATTTAAATCTCACCCAGCAATGCGCAGATGCATTAAAAACACAGCAACCGATGCATGTACGCATACATGTGTTACATTTTCACTAGTGAAATCTAAAAAATGTGATGGCTTATCACTGGGACTTACAAGAGAAAGTGCAAGGTAAAAAATCAAACTTTACTTTCTGTAGTTCAGAATCAGTCCAACCTTCACAGAGCTGAGCTCCCAATAATAATTACACTGTACCATGAACTGCCTCATTTAGCAACCAACATTTTATTTATCCATCTTTTTACTTCTAATACACTTGTATATGCTGACTCTCTCTTAGAGGTAGCTACAGTGTATTTGACAACCAAGATCAGAGTGGATGGAGGGTACTAGAATCAATAAATTAAGGAATGTCGTGTCTGCCTATTGATTCAGGAGACACTCGCAAGCCAGTGTTTCTCCTCAGTCAGGTGAGTGTCCACAGCATGCCCAGGGTAAAATGCGCCTGAATCACATCGTAGGTACCCCTCTTTCTTGTCACTATAAGAACACTTCTTTGAGGGAAAGATAGTTTGCAGCTCACATTCATCATATAATGACATAAGATCTCCTGAAGTGCAGTTGGTAGAGTTCATTTCTAACTTTACAAACGGCTGTGGGAGTCTGCAACATGCAACCCACACACATTGCTGACACCGATACCCTGGTTTATTTTGGATCAATTAACTCCTCGATGAGTTAGATGGGTCTTTCTTATGTTCTTTACGTTTCACCCGATGTCTCATTTGAGGCTATACTGACATGTACTAAAATCATACACAAGTGACACAGAAGATTACACAACAGATTTTTTTCTCTGCCATTATCAAATAACATCAATATAGAAACCTCCTGGTACACAGAAACAGCTTACGGATCTATGCTGTCAAAAACTGTTAAAAAGACCAAAATACAAATGATAAACAGATTCCAAAACACATTCTATATGTGTCTCCAAGGTTTTCAGACATCATGGAGCCAACCATGTTTGACAGCTCCATAACTATTCGTGTACTTTTTGATGTAAATCCATTAAAGCCGTGAAGCTTTATTATGAATACAAATCTGGACAATGAATTTATAAGCAGAAAAACAATGCCGCGAAACTTCACTGCCAGTGTGGCTTTCATAACAAGCATGGAATAAAGACAGTGGAGAACAATGTGCCTTTTGTGTTTCGCAGCTGAACTGTCGCATCACGTGGCAGTCTCATCTTGCAACCAATACTTCAACCCAACAGTACACAAGAGAAACCCACACTGCCAAAGAGGCAGAAAGCCCTGCTCCAACAACACGGAAAAAATGAAAAACAGAACAACTAGAAAAGGCTTAGACTGCATTTTGTGATCCAGTTATTATTAGTTTCACATTTTAAGACAGTGAACACCCCCCCCCAAGCAATGCCTCCTCCAAGTTTCCACTCAGGGAACCCCAGAACAAACACTCAGTCCTGCGTGAAGGGGGCTCTGCGCAGCACCGATCTGACTGCAGCAGCCCCCCAGAGCCTCCACTCCATCTCCTGCTCACAGGCTCCAGATCTTTCAGATTAGTTCAAACCTGCTCGCACTGCTGTCAGGGGCCGAGATCCGAGCTATCGTTTCAAAAAATGGGGGGAGTAAGGAACATCCTTGTTTAGGACAAGTGGACAAAAGAAGAAGAAATCACTTTCCAGATATGAACTACATCTGCACATTCCCAAAATAAGATGCCCATAATGGCCCTGGACAAAAAGTACACAAGAGAACAGGGACTAACTCTATAACGTAGTACACAGCGTGTATGAGAACATACCCTTCACACAGTGCACTCTCCACAAAAAAGAGAGTGAAGAAAAATTTGATGAATCATTTGATTTTCAGCAGCCGAATTCATAGTCCCAAATGTCACTTTTAACAGTCTAGTCCATACTCTTAATAGTAAAAGCTGCTAAGACTAGCAAACATTAGTTAAAGGGTATCAGAAGACAAATACAACATCAAAATTATTGAAATGACTTGAACAGATAAGGCATACACACATCACCTGCTGATTAAAAATGTAACAACAACAGCATTAACAGATATTAGCTGCATCTTTAATCTCAAAGATATCATCCAGACAGTTTTAACACCTATGAAACTCAATACACATTACCGGGTGACTCTATATGTAAAGAATTGGTAGTGCCTCAGCCTTGTTGCAGAAGCTCTTCAATTACAGTTTGTGAATTAGATGCCTTGCATTGCTTCACTGCCTGTCTTGAATAAATCTGTCAACCTAAATATGGCCACTAAGCAGTATGGTACTGGTCATGTGTGTAACAATGGAAAAAATATATCACAGCACGGTCATTCTCAGCCAAATCAGGAAAACACTTTAGAGTTAACTGGCACTGACTTATTACAGCTAATTACACCTTTAATCTTGAACTAAAAAAATTACAGCTGTCAGTGCGATACAACTGAAAGATGGCTAAGAAGTTCCTACTGAGATGAAAGATTTTTGTTACATGGCACAAAATAAATGTCCCTTGGAAATCACAATACTGAGCAGCATAATTAGCAAATCAACTGCAGAACACAACTGTCAGTGCAAATCTGGCTCTTGTCCTGAGCCCTTGGTAGCTCTGAAAGAATGGAGTATTCCTGAGATGACTGCACCAAACGCATGGCATGCCTCTAGCTCGGACTCACCAGACAGTTACGTCAGGTTCCTTCACACCTGGGGAGCCTCCCAGCACACTGTGGGACAGTCTTGTCTGGAGCTCTGACAAACTGCATGAAATAAGAGCTACACAGCACTGAGGCTTTAAATTGATATTTAAAGCAGGGGGGTTCCCCCATTGTGAACACTGCAGTTGTCACAACTTATTTTTTCTTCATCTTAAAATGTTGATATTTAATTCAGTTCAGCTCCACCCATTTACAGTATATCCCAACCCCAATGTGGAAGAGAGCCATCAGAGGTGCCCACACTGAGCAAACAATGCACACAGCCCAAATACCAGATTGCTGCCAGGACAGTGAGCACGTTCATATAGATCTGGTCCTGCAAGTATCTGGAAGGGTGCTCCTTTGTTCCATGACCAGTACAGCATCTCCCAAATCACTTCTCACAACAGCTTACAAACACCACACTGGGCTTTACGATCACTGTGAATGTTTAGAACATTTACCACAGCAGCAAATTCAGGAGCCTTGATTCTGTTTGGCAAAGCCTTTCATCTCATAACAAGAGTGCTTATGTCCCTTAAGAACAGACCCCTGAATAACTTGGTTTAAATGTTCTTCATTTGAAGTTGGCAAGCAACTGACTTAGGCTATAAACTCAGATCCAGGACTTATCGTAACGTCCAGACATAGTCAAGAGTGTAGCCCATACAGTGAACTGTGACTGAAAGAGAAAAAAACAACATAAAACAATTGTCTATATGTGGCTCTTATTTCCAATGATACAGCATCAATTGAAGACTGCAGCAGAATGAAGAAACCTGAAATATCTGCCCAGTCTAATTCATATTATTCCAAATTCTGTAGAAAAAAATGTGTTGAACTATATTCTGCAGTCTGAAAAAAAGGTTCTCCTACAGCAACTAAATCTTCAATTCAACAATGCCCAGCACTAATCCATAGGTTGTTCAAGAAATAAGAGGGAAAGCGTTTTCAGTCTCAAATAGATAAGCTAGACTGCATTTTAATACAGAACAATCAAAAACTGTAAATTTGATTCTAAAAATCTTCTGTATGATAACATTCCAAACTTTCACCTTAACATATTTGAGTGGAATCTGAAACTGAGAAAACTGCAGCAGAATCTGAACATGAATTATATTATTGGAAGGACAGAAAACACTTACAGGCAGTAGACAAATACACAGCAGCTGTAGATCATTGGTAACTCATCCAGTAACTAAACAGGAGAGAGGTGGGGGACAAAAAGCAGAATGCTTTAAATGTGTGAGCTATGTAGTGAAGCTGATCATAAAGACACATCATTTTTGAAAAACAATAAAGAAAAGGATGACTTATTTACGATTTGCAGTTTAATTTCTAACAGGTGGTGGTTCCAATGAAACATGAGGTCAAAGACTTGTTTTTTGACAGTCCTTTAATGATGACAGAACTATAAAGATGCAAGCCAACTCTTCTGAAGCCTATGATAATCTTCTAACTCTAATAATAAATAAGTTTCACTGCAGTTTTGATAAGGGTCTGGAAATTAGTGACATCTAAACCAAAACAAACTCCATATGCATGCATGCAAATATATATGAACAAGTAATAAGTTTATTCCATGCTGAAAAGAGAAGAAAGTAAACAACATTTCGGCTATGGAGCTTTCTTCGGGCACCATATGTATACTGTATATACAGTATTTACATTCAATTGCCAGGACAGTTAAACGCCAGTGAAACATTTACTCCTAAGGTAGTTCTGAAAGAAAAATCCACTAGCATTAGAGTTGGGTTTCCCCTTAACAAATGTCTTTGTGTCCTTTATTTGATCTAGAAACTCTGGGTATTTTAGTGTTATCGTGATGGTCAAGACCCAGATCAATAAGACAGCTACACACAGGGGAAGCAACAGAATACCAAGCAGACTCGGTGCTGAACTCTGGCTCTCAAGGGCTACGTCTTCACATCTTTCACTTTAAAACTGCTGAGGACTGATTAAAGAGGCCAGAGGAGGTATTTAGTCCAATTATTTTGATTTTATTGATTTAGAACATATACAGTAACAGGGGTATTGAAACTAATGAAGAGCTTGCATTAAGCATTATAGGCCAGGTTCAATGGATATCACCAGCCCCCTTCCCTCACTCATAAGAATTTAGCGCAGATAACTCCCAAATCTACATCTGAGCCTCTACTGGAAGAATGAAAAAGATCTAGAACCAATCATTAGATTCATATTCTTTCTAGTTATCTAAATCAATTCTCTTCCTCTGTTCATTTCATTAATAAGTGAATATGCATTGGCATTCCTTATAGATACACCTACTGTGAGTGAATTAAAAGTAAGACCAAAATCTATGACAACAGCAAGAAACCATCCAAATTTCAAATAATCTGGCAATTCCTCAAATAATCTGGCAGAAACTAACATGAAAAGTTACAAATTAGGCAAAGAATTCTGATCATGCAAAAATAAATATACAGTATTCATATTCAAGCAGGTCCCAGAAATCTGGAGTGCTATATAACAGAGCTCACACAACAGCAGGGGAGAGAATTAAAAACACTGAAATGAGTAACAGCATTCCACTCATGTAGTAAGAAACATTGGAAAAGGAGCTCCAACAAAGAAACAGCATGGATACAGTTGGTATTTATCTAAATATTTACTGATGTTCTTGAAGCAGCTACGTCTGACAAAGTATGATGATTTGTAACATAACATGAATGATACAGAGGATGTACTGTACACACCCTTGTAAATTCAGGGAGTTACTCAATGTTATTAAAAAAAGTCTTGTAAGCCTTGGCCCTCGATTTCAATTACAAGGAAGGCTTTTATCCCTCAGAAAGAATGCAAGACAGCACTTGTCACATGCTCTTCCGTGACAAAAAAGGATGAGACAACGGAATTAAAACATTAACATATATTAAAACAAGAAAAACAGTTCTGGATCTATCACACAAAAAGGCTGGAGGTCTTAAATTTAGAGTTTTTACCTTTTTCTAAGTAAGGAAGTTTGCATTTGTCTATATACTGTACGGCACTGTAAGCCACAGAGTGATAAAAGTGTGAACAAAAGCATGCAAGAGAGCTTACACATGTTGAAGACAGAAGAACAGAGAGAAGATCCTGCTGCTCGGGAACAAGGGAGCAGAGCTGAAAGAATCAGACCAGCACATGCCTGCAGTGACAGGACACTGACAGTGCCCAGGGGCATCCAGGAGGGGAGAACCTGAGGGCATTGCAGCTTGTCGATCTATGGGAGTATTAATTAGCAAGTACAGCAAGTATTAATTACTCATATACTGCTGACCTCCAGGTCCGACAATTGGACCTAAATTTCCATCATGGAAAACTGCTGGATTGCACACCTTAGAGTTGTAAAATAAACAGAAAAGCACCTCACCTGCATTTCATACTGCAGTGTCATGTGGAAGCACCAAGAGCCAATACCAACCGCTGAAAACAGATGAGAAATGTCACTAAACACCAGGCACAAGCAACAAGCCAAGGACAGCTGGTGACACCAGTGTATCATGGTTAATACATCCTGTATGTATATGTACATTTGACAGCGAATACTTTATACTACACAAATCACAATAAATTAAAAGCATAGCACAGTACCATTAAAATTACACACGTGCGAACACATTCAGTATAAATTGTTTTTTTAACATAGCAAGTGAGCAAAAGTCTAGCATACTGTAAATTACATGATGATGCTTACATGATGCTAGGAAGTACTTTATGTAAGCATGATGTACTTCTTTCCTCACTGACTAATATAATAATAATAATAATAATAATAATAATGGGTTATATGGGTTTGTCTGAATGTACAACTCTTCATGGATTGTACAAAAGGATTTGTTTTATTCTAGGTGACACTGGGATCAGGGAAAAATCATTAAAAATAAAGCTCAATTCTTCAAGTACTTAAAAGTTCAGAACAAACGTAATAGAATTAAATAATAAGGATTCAGGACAGAAAACTGAATGCCTTATTAGATTGCCCCATTTTGGGATTAAAAGTAAATTTGAATTATGGGCGGAAAAAGTCAGCATAATATGTTACACTTTAATGTTGAACCCTTAAGGAGACAAAGTACAACAGATCGATTTGCCTTTTTAATTTCTTCCTGTGTTTTAATTTCATAACTTCTGTTGAACAGCTCGGTAATATAATCAAATATTATGCCACACCAAATAAAACTTTTGGAGTACATCATCAAGGTGAAAGTACCTGAGTACATTTTCAAATTTATGGAAAATGTTTAGAAAACCAGACAACTTCCATACACTGCAGCTTGACTGCAGAACAGATATAAACACATGCAGGCCATGATCTGTTAGCTGTGGAGCTGTGATAAAGGTAGATGGCATGCTGCCAAGCTTTCAGTGCACAGGGAGTCGACACGTACTGTACAAACAGAACTCAATGATGCTGGAACACAAGGCCTGTTCAACTGCTATCAGCTTCTCACTAGGCACCTGGCAATAGCTACACTGCAATTTTAGGTGAAGGATGTTTCATGAGCACAACCTTTTTTATTATACCAACCCTTCAGCTTTATACCATTCTTAGGGCTGACCAGTGAAAAAATGTTATTGATAAACGTTGACATAAATACTTATGGCAGAATAAAGATTCATCCACTTAGTGTTAGATGGATGCCTGTTTCTGACAGGAGTCAGGACAACCCAGAAGCTAATGCAGAACAGGATGCTGGGTGGGATGCCAAAGAGATAACTCAATTCAACTTTATTGTCATTAAACTTACACAGGTGCATAGTATAATGAAAAGTGTTTCTCATTAGTCACTCAGGTGCATTATATAAATAGGACAGAAGTTTGAGTTTGTGCTATTTATCTTGAATGATGGTTGATCTATTCTGTTTATAATAGCAAGAAAAAGGCAATGCCTTTAGAAGGTCTTGCAGGGGCTGCTACAGAAGACAATTTATTAAAATTAAGACAGACTTCACAAACAGCAAATTTTCTATGCACAGCCTTTACGTCAGGGGTAAGCAACCTAGCTCTTGAGCACTCGGCTCCTGCAGATTTTAGAGCATCTCTGAATTAGCACATGATTAAGACATGAATTCTCAATCTACTTCAATGATCATAAAACTAGTTAAGGTGTAGGATAGAATAAAAATAAGAACATTAAACACTTAAAATTTTACTATAGGCCAAATAATCAGAACAAATTCAAGAGACAAATAAGCAAAAATCATTCTTAACAGCAGGGGTGAGCTCTTTAGAATCAATCTGCATCCAACACACCCTTTAGACAACTGTCATATGTGAAACCAAGACTGCCAAATAGTAACAGAAACCTTGAAGTAATTACCAAACTTACTTTGAAGTATATGTCATGCTGCAAACAAATAATGCAATCTGACATGAAAGATGTTTAACGGCTGCCATGTGACATGCCTGTTCACGTGTATAACTCGATGTAGTCGTCGAATGTGTTACAACTACTGCATTTCAAGGGCACAGAAAGTCAATGGCCCCAGCTACACACTGTTTCTGTAAATACTGGAAAAGAAAAAAAACAACTAATAACATCGCCCTCCCCGCAGCTACTTGAATTTCCTTCCAAACAAAAGTGGGAATTGCCTTAAAAGGCCAATCTAAAATCAGGAATACTTGGCACTTTGCAGATACACAAAACACTTCAGCCATTTAAACTAAGAGCACTGCCTGTGGGCAGTAAACAAAAAATTAAATCCCAAGGTCAATGCGCATTTATATATTTTTGGAATTTGTCAAATAAAGTGCCATAATAAGGAATCACAGATATTAATCCTGAGATTAATTCTCAGTGCACTTCCACTACTACACAGAACAGTAATTCTGATTTATTCCATTTTCTTCTCTTTCAAAACATTGTGAAATTCCTCATACACACAGCAAAATAAAAACTCACAGGCATTAATTTTCACTTGTTAAACATAGTAGAATATTTTTTTCAAGGTTATAAAAAGGAGATTCAATCTGCAGGAAAAATAAATCTTTCATGTTACCTATTGCAACGATTCCATTCCTTTGTGAGTGAAATGATAAGGGCGAGCTGGTGACCTCACTGACAAAGACACTCTTTATTAATAGTTCATACATCAGCACGTCCTCCTGCCTCATGTTTAACTAGTCTTTTGGCATTATTAAAAAAAAAAGCAATTTCACACTTCCTCGCAATGTTTTTCAGAACCATATTCTTAGCATTCATAATACTACTTTCTAAAAAAGAACATCAAATTCATGGCTGAAAAGAGCAAAGGTCAGGTCACATTTAACAGACTTGTTAATACAGTGCTTGTAGTATTACCATTAAATTGCGACTAGAAGTATATGGCTATATTTCCAAATACTGCTAAGGATCTTTAATTTTGCGAGCATGAAGTTGACTGCTCTTTGCCAGTAGCCAGTTTACTGTATATTGTGCTGTGTTACTGTTAACTGCAACTATTCATATAATCAAACACAGATTAAAGCACTTTAATCCCAATGGTCATAAGGAGGAACTCTTAAAACCCCAGTTCTGGTTTCCCATTTCTGCATTTCTTACTGTTTGCTCTGAATCCACCTTCAAGCCAAGTTGATTTAAAATATCTGCATGTCCTTTTCTAAAGTCTTACAATTTGTGGATTTATCATTAAAATATACATGTACAAAGGAAACAGACTTTACATTTTTCTAAATTTTTAATTTTCAGAATCAGTACAGAGGCATTTAGGGATTTAATGAGAGCTGTCCTGTAAAAGACACCACTACAGAACTATGACTGTTCTTGCTTATGATTTGTAAACACCTACATTTAGATGAAGTTTCACTCTTTCCTGTTCCACTCTGCTTTAAAAAAAAAAGCAACATTTCACAGCCTATCAAGCAATTAGATAAATACCCCTAGAAACCTTTTTTTAACTGTATTAACTGCCAGACTCTTTGTGTCCTGTTTTTGGATAAATAAAACTAGTCATGCAACTAAATAGAAGACCCCATTAACAGTATCGTTACTGACCAGACACTGGTCTTCTAAGTACTTAAGCTAGAATTAAGACAAATGCCACTTAACTCCATATGTATTTAAAGGCAAATATACACATACAGAAAAGTGCAAATGTTTCCATCAGAAAAATCAATGGTGGAAAGAAACATGCTTACCTGTGAGACCCAAATACGCAAAAACGTAACGGATCTCAAGGCCATCTCTGACAGTCTGTATGGCACCATAGATCGGAGGTAGTATCATGATCAGGTTACTCACAGTATTCCCTGTAGAGAGAGAGGGCAGAGGGCATTCAGACTAATAACACAGCACACAGTTTATCCAGTGAACTAACAAAGAGGCCTCGTGAAACCAGAACATCTGAATGCTGTCTTAGTGAGTTATAAATGTAACCCCAAAAGCTAGTTTACTGTGTAAACAGAAACAGGAGAGTTGTTTTTTTTATTTGAAGCAGGATTTATCATCTGTATCAAGCAACTATTTCTGAATAAAACAGCAGAAAACAAGTTCTCCAATGTAATTATCAGAGTGCCTATTAAATGCCTTTTATTTCATAACTATATGCTTACAACATGAACATTTTATTCACTCTTCACTGTGCAATAATGCCCTTTTCGGACAGCTATCAAACCTCCTGCATGATAGCCAACATTGTGTTAATTTGCTGATGTTCAGAAGATTTAAGCATTATTCCCAGGGTAAAAACAAAGAATGCTTTACACAGAAGACAAAACTACTGCAGTCTCTCCATTTTGGCTGCCTTCCAAAGTATCAGTTTTACTGAACACAGAAACTCCTTTGCACTATTCATAATTACTTAACTAAATAAATCAAATAAACTAAAATTAAAAAGAAGGTTTCATATAGACACACATTTAAACTTAAAAAAATTAACTTGTGTTACCACCACATTATATCCCATTTATCCAAGTCCAGAAATTAATTTTAATTTATAGAAACTAATCCACTGTTTCATGCAGTAAAATACAAGCTTTTCTGTTCTTTGTCCCTTTGAATGGTTCAGTGTTAAACCTCCTACAAGACAAGGTTCTGTTTTCACCTCATTTTGTGGTGCACCCATAGCAGAGGATTATTCTCTGCAAGCTGACCATGTCCCTGCCACAGAGCAGGCGCCTCTGAATGGCAGTGTCCAGCACTGTCATTACAAAAACCTGAAATTGGTAGCTTCTTTTTTTTTGTGGATTCTCTCTTAGCAAAGCCTCAAGAATGTTACTGCTGGATTTTATTTAAAGGAATAATTTGAGGTGTGAATAAATATGACCCTTGTGATTTTATTTTATAAATTTATCTTGAGGGCACCATAAAAGTATTTCCATTTTACCACGTAGTTATAAGTGTATCACAACGTCTCTGTATACCTCAATAAAAACAACTAGTTGCCTTTACTTGTCTAAAACAATTACAGTCTCCCAGGTCTTCCTTGGCTAATGAGCTCTTGGAGCTTGAGCAGTGGGAATACTGCAACGCCCCAGAGCCACAGATGTGCACCAACACCTGACAGATCTCCGAGGGTGTCAGATACTGCCTTGTACAGCTGCAGGCCCTATGCACACCTGTAAAGCTGAGCCCTGTGAATTGCAGGTTTTTTTTTAACCATTTGTCCTCTTTGTTTTCAGTTCCAAAAAGCATTAGCAAGACTCGTCCTCTGTAGTGTGTGGAAAAAAAAAGTTCTTCCACGTTGCTCTGAGCTGAAGGCAGGCTCACAAAACGTGTCAAGAACATCGTTCACATCCCCACTGGCAGACTCCTGCTGCAGCAGGTGTGCACAACAGCTATCAAGCAAAATTAAGTTTTACTCTGTAAAAAACACACAAAACCATACCAATATAAGGAGGAAAAAAAGTGTTTTTCCATCCACTTCAGACAGCAGCAAAACATGGGGGCTTCTGTGTGATATTCTGATGTGTTGTAGGTTAATCTGCATGTGTCACAAGTTTTACTAATTATATGCAATAAATATACTTGCTAGATGGCTTTATGTATATGTTTCTAAGAACTGTATTCAGATTTTTAACATTGTTATAAAACTAATAATTTTAATTAAGAAAAAATGAATTAAATAAGTTAACTACAGAAGCAAGCATTTAACTATATATCTATGTAGTTATAAAGTTAAACTATATATAGCATTAATTAACTTTTAATTGGCTCACTAGTCTAGCAAAGTCTACATTCTACCAAAAAACACCTTTAAAAGGACAAACCTCTACGTACTCACTCCAATCCCCCCCACTCAGATATTACTTTTAGCCTCTAAAGAAATCTCTTTGGTGTTTTAAAGTGCTGTTTTCAGTCTGAGCACAGTGCTGTTAAGCCTGCCAGAGGACTCCGTGTCCTGGGCTGACGAGTCGAGGTGTGGGGCTCAACGGGAAGCAGCAGGGCTCACTGGCAGGGCTCGGCTGCAGGAGGGAGTTGCCATAGTTACTCCCGCTGGCTGGAGAAACGCACGTCGTGCTCGGTGCCAGAAGCCAGGAGGCGTTTCTGAGCTTAGTGCTAAGCTGTCCTGCGTCTTTTTCCTTCGCCACCCATTTTAGTGCTAGTGAGAATTATGTCTCACATGTATTTAAAGTGCATTTACTTAAAAACCATCCTAAGATTCATTGTGTGTTACACAGACCAGGAAACATATGATGCAGGAGACTTTCAGGAAACCAGAACCTTCCAGGCTCAGACTAGTTTTAACCTTGCGCCCACTAAGACCAGAGAAAACACAAGGCAAGTAACACTTCTGCTTCGACGACTTCTGTGCTTTAGACAGGCAACTACATTTTAAATGCTAGGCCATTGGTGTGGCTGAAAAAGGCCAGTAGGAGCATAATTAGCCCCAGTCTTCCCATACCCAATGTCAAATAAGATGTTGCTGCAAATTAAAACCACCTCAGAGAATGTGATCCTATCAACATCCACAGCAAGTGAAAGTTATGTTTAACAATTTTTCAAAAAGCTTCTGAGATACATTGTCATGCCTGAATACCCAAATCCTAACAAGCATGGTCCATGCCGCTCAAAAAGAATACCTAGCCAGCACAACATTTTAACAAAGCAAGCATGAAGGCTAAAGCACAAAGCCTTTTGAGAAAACATGCAGTGCATGCTCATGTTAAATCTGATAATGGTATTCTAATGAAGTGGAAAAAGTGCTTATGCACAGGAGTCATTTTAAACATACAACACAGAGCACAAATGTGAGAACATCTGAATCTAGTACCAGACAATGAAATGTTTCTGCTCTGCAGATCTTCAGTTCAGTTCCATCAGCAGATCAAGCTGGTTACTTCCCCTCTGAAACTCCACTGTCACTGGACTACGCTCACGCTGACACCACTGATCGGGAGAGCTCTGAGAGAACAGCTGTAACACTCTCTGCTTTGCCAAAGCATTTTATACCAGAAGCTGAAGCCTAAACAATGCTATGACAACAAAACAGCTGAAACCATCTTCCTGGGGGTTTTCAATAAGTACTATATTTTGCCATTTGTTTTGAGTGCTTGTACAGGAGAGTCTTTTTTTTTAATCATCACTAGCTTCCCACAGTCTTTACTTGTCACTACTTACTTTCCTGTTCCTCTGCCCCACCCAGACAGCGCACTGCCGCAAAACCTCCATCTGACCTTTTACAGTCACAGAGGAGCTGAAGTGGGTCTGCAGCCACTCGGCTGAGAGAGAGAGAGAGTACCCCAGAGCGCTCGGAGCTTGCACCCCAGTGCCGAGATAGCGGCCTGTCGCCTCGTTTACTGATGAACACAATTTAGACTGAGGCATTTCTAACGACTGCAACAATCATCATGCCACTGACACATGGCCTAGAAGCTCTTGCTGTGGGCGATTCTAGGGCAGAGCAGCAGGAGGCGGCCCTGAGCAGACCCAGCCCTGACCAAGCTCAGTTCGCAGCGCAGTGCAGCCACAGTGACAGCTCTCTCACCCCTGCAGGGCAGTGTGTCTCAGGCCATGGCGGTTTCCGTCCTGTTCTTTGTTGAGCACTCTTCCTCTTGACAACCTCTTTCGGAGCCAATTAATAACTCTCAACACCAATTACAGAGTCAGCCCTTGTACTGAAACAAGCCTTGAAGTGGTCTGGTGACAGGTACAGAGCTAAGCCAGCGTATTCCAGCCATTCTTCCAAACATTTCACAACATAATTAAACACCAACTGTAACCTTGAATACGTGTCGAAATATTTCTCCCGCGTCACCCTTTAAGATCTCTCTCACACCTACGGTTTGCATGTGAAACCACCGTCCAATGCGACTGAAATGCATGTCCAACTCATACCTAACTGCAGGAAGTCTCATTTTAAACCCGCGTTACCCAACCTGAGCCTCAGATCACCGTTTCGTCCTACAGTGTTCACTGCTCCTTTCTTGTCCCGGTTTTCACTCCGGCTATGATTATACAGCGGCTACACCTTCTAGCTCATGTTTACTGGCTTATATTTTATTGATCAAGAAGGAAAAACAGGTGAAAACACTTTTATCCAGCCTTGTGAAGCGGGAGAGGTTCGATTTCACTTCAATTAGCTGCAGAGAACCCCCAGATCCAAAGTGGCGTTTGACAGTTAGATGTAGACGACAGAGCCAGCGCGGAACTGAGCGCAGACCGGATTAAAGCCGGGCCGGGCCGGACCGGACAGGACCGCACAGCCGCCGCCTCCCCCGGGCGGGCATGACTCACGACCCACGCGTGGGAAGCGAGCGGGGGGTTAGACACAGTGCAATCACGCTCGCCGGCTGCCTGACGCTCCTTCCGCTTCTTGCTCTTCCCGAGAAGGAGAAATCCACAGCCGAGCACCCGCTCCTCCGGAGGCGGCGGCGGCGGCGCCGGCGGTCTCGGCTGGCGGAGACCCGGGCCTCCGGTCCGGCAAGCCGGCGCTGCCCCTCGCCCACCCCCGGCGCTCCTGCGTCTGCCCGACTGGCCCCGGCCTACTCACAGAACTCGGCGATGTAGAAGGAAACGGCATAGTTCTCTTCACACCAGTCCAGGGTCGAGGTCGGCTGGCCCCAGAACCCGGGCCTGTCTGCCGCAGGAGCCATGATGGAAAACAGCAGCCGGGTATCCGGGGAGGGGGTGCGGGTCACCATGGCAACCGGATAGCAGAGCCAATGAAACGCGAGCGCCGCAGCGTGATCTCAGGTGAGCGGAACCTGCGCGCGTGAGGAGGCTCCCGGCAGGTTCCCGAGCCGCGCGGACCCGCCTCGCGGGGATTTACTGAGCACGTGAGGTGTAATTAAAAATTACAGTCCTAGAGGGGCTGTCCCCTCTTCCGAGACACTGGCAGGGTGGATATATCATAGGAGTGTAGCTGTTATTAATGCACAGCCCCTCACGAAGCGCTGTGCACACTGATTTTTTTTTGTTTTACAGTATTATCGAAAAGCAACGTCACGAACAAAACTCTTTAATGTGGCACATACAAAAAATGGATATTAAAAAAACGTTTGTCTAGCAGTACTACGGTTTAAGTGAACTATAATAATACAAAATATTTTATCCTAAATGACACCGCCGTGCTTCTCAGGAGGGACGGATTCCTTACCCGCTGTCACAGCACATACCGGCACACGAGAGGGAGGAGCGCCCCCTACTGGTCCACCAACACCTCTCAGAGCAGCAAACGCGCTCTCTTCTGGGCTTGGGTCTCAAATGTTTCTACATTTGCTCTCATCTCTAGAAGAACAATAGGATTTGTACTTGGTTATCAGCCCTGCGCCGGTCTCTCATTTTTTTTTTAACTGTGCTGCCTGAAATGTGACCACATGGACCTCTGTAGAAGGAAAACCCACACACAGTGAGTGTCTGTTCATCATGAACCGATCAACGAGTTAAGAGCTGTTCAGCTAGAAACGACAGCCAGCAAGCTGAGGAGAGGCTGTGTACAGCTCTGTGTGCATATTCCTTAAGATGGGCTAGTTCTGACGCTCAGGAGCGCCTGAAGAAAAAGTCATCGATCAGCACTGAAGACAGGGCTCAGCTGGAACAAAGCCCAGAAGAGACGGAGTTCCCCCAAGACCAGGGCAAGGAATGTAGGCTCCAGACCCGACAAAACCAGCAAAACAACAAGAAAGTGCCAGACTGGTATCATGAATAATAAAGTCTCAGTTTGGAAAATGTGTTTATGATTCAGTTCTCCAGAGCCCCAGATAAGACATATACTGTGTATATATACAATACTATACATTTAACAATATAAACACGTGTATGGTGTACTGTATATTGTAAATGTTAAAGACATATTATACGTTTGTATTGAATGCCTTTTAACTGTATGAGCTCACCAAACCAAACCTGAGCAGCACAGTGTGCACAGATTTCTCTTCCCACTCTCGCTGCTCTCTTCCACAGCAGGCACACCAGGAGCTCCTCCCTTTGTTCTCTGGCTGGGAATAAATTACATCATTGTGACACTGCATCAGTGTTTCCATCCACTGAACAGCAGAGGGAACGGACACCAAGAGGAGCCAGATGAACCTAGAGGTCATTTCTAAATCTGGCCACAGGCTGTGTTCCACTGGCAGTGGTTCCACTGCAGATGAGCTGCAGGCAAATCGCTCTTGTGTGATTAACACCAGCCGGCCAGTAGTGTCATTGTCCACCAGAGACCACAAACCAGGGGGACTCAAACAGGAGCAGCTGCGGAGAGATTCACAAGCATCCAATCGAACTCTGCAAAGCAGAATTCATCTTTCTTTTCGCATTATTATATACAGTTTTTACTATACAGTTACTATATACAGTACTGTATAAAGAGCTACTGTATATTCCTGTAGCACAGTTTTCTAAGACATGTGCTCACAACACATCACTGACCTTTTACAGACGTGTGGCTGCATACGGTATCTCTGAAAACAGGGTAGTGAAACATCAGAAAGAGCACACGTAACATGAAATCACTTCTATGTTTTTTTTTCTGTTGCTTATCTAAGATAACCACTCAGGGCTGCAGGCATTCTCCAGAGCAGTTCAGTTTCACTTGGATTCATGTTATCTTGATATGTGATTCTGATTCCACAGAGTTTCATTTTTTTTCCTTGTTTCTTACCATCTGGAAAGTATTTGTTCTAGCAGTTTTGTAATTTATTTGTAGTCTATATCAGGGCAGAAAAGATGAAAAGAAACAAGGTCTTCGAGTGGTTGCACATGATGAACACTGAGAGTATTTTTTGTCCCCTCACTCTCAACCGAGGAAGGACACTGTGTCATCTCTTACAGCTGGCAAGAGAAGACTTGAGGATTTATTACCATTGATAACAGATACATGGCGCTTGAACTTACATGGAAGAGGTCAAGAAATCCCAGAGCAGCATTTAGGAACACAGACAATACCCACCAAGAAAAGGAGGCACTGAATGGAAACGCATGTACATAAAAGCTACGGTGGTTTTATGGAATAATCTACTTACAGGACAAACTATGACTGGTTTCTGACTGTTGGGGTGAGTTGCACTGCAGAGACACAAGACCAGTGTTTGCAGATACAATGAGAATGTTCCAGCCAAGGAAATTCTCTGGGCAGTCTTGGTTGTGCTGCTGCCAGACCCAACAATGATTTGAGAATCTTTTACAGAGGAGAAAGGCACTTTGAAACTCAGGAACTGCGGATGGTCTGGATCTTTTTGTGAAAGGTATTCATTGTTATGGCTTTGCAGATTATTGCAGAGAATTAGTCTTAAATTTCCGCCAGTCAAGATCTTGGCAAGCAGTATCCTGTGTGCTTTTGCACCAATTTAAAATAATGCTTTTTTAAAAGTGTTTAATCTGGCTTCATTAGTAATATCTGCATTAGATCAGCCCTGCAGTAGAACTGATGAAGCCAAGTGATTTCTGTCGAGCCAAATCAAACAGTGGTTTGCTCAGAAATACACTCCTCTGTATATTCATAATGTTCTGTGCTTCAGGACTGGAAATTCCAGGGAAATACACTCCAGATATCATCATACATTATTAAATGTTCCAGCCTTGTTGTACATGCCCACAGAGAATCTGCCGCAAAAAGGAATTAAAACTAAAACTGCTGAATTTCCTAGCCAACATTAGTCTATTAAGAGATTAGACTTGATTTCCTGGCCAAACTGACTTGGCTGTGTACAATTTTAGTTGGATGGCTGGGACATTGTGTCTTTGGAATATTTCTTAATCATCTGTCAATACTTCTAGTTCAGGAGTACTGGAGTGATTCTATAAGTGCTCATCTGTGTTCGTGGACCATTCTAACACACAGCGAAGCGTCAACAGACACCAGATCTGCAAACATCCTTAAAATAAAATTCACTGCTTTATGGAAATGTAGGGCGTGAGCTCAAATTTACTTAGCTGTAATTCACTGTGAAGTGAAATGGCTGCATTTACAAGTCATCTTCTTTCTTAGCTGTTGGTACTGCCTAGGAAAAGGGCTTTAAGCAGTCAAAGGACTAGTCTGTTATCTTTGAATGAAGATGCAAAACACCTTAATACATAAAAAATGTAACTACTTAACTACTTTACTGCCTGGAAAGAAATCAATTTAATTATTTACTGCAATATTTTTAAAATTCCTGCTAAGATTGCTTCACATGTGTAATAACAATAATAATAATAATAATAATAATAATAATAATTCCTTGCATTACTACAGTGCTTGACATCCAAAATATTCCCTATAAAGTATATAGGAAGGGATCAGCTTGGTGCCATAATGAAATGCTGCCCCATCTAGGAGACACACGACAGGCATTCTGCACCAGCAGCCCCACTGCACAGAACATCGAGGAGCAAAGTGAGACTTTCACATCACCAGCTGAATTGTTCAAACTCAGAGAGGAGAGGAGCCAGGTTAACAGGTCAGGTGATATTCTAGTGCTCATGTTCATACTGAACGGGTAACATGAAACCCCTCTTTACAGCAAATATAAATACTGACAAAAACAGAAATACTGATATAGACTAATGTATTGAACTGATTTCAACCACAGTCTCCACCTACAGGAATGTTTCCTGAAGTGTATTTCTGAACTTAAACATCTGCATCAATATTTCCCAGCCTGACTGATAAATCCACTTGATCGCTGATTAGACCTGTCCAAGACAGCCTGTGTCTGGACCGGGGGAGGAAAGCGGAGAGACAGCGGAGAAAGTCCATGTGGCCGCAGACGATCGTGAGACTCCACACAGGGGACAGAGGGCAACACAGGCCAGATTCGAACCCAGGACCCCAGAGCTGAGAGTCCGCACCAGCTGCCACACCACCGTGGTGAACTGGTAAATCATTGTTCGTTAAAAACAGTCCACTTGAAAACAAACGTCATCGCCTTTGTTATCACAATCTAATGTATGCAAATGTATACATTTCTTAAGCCACACATTTCTCAAGTTTTCAAAAAATGCATATTCCCAATTTAGAGATTAGAGACAGACATTAAATAACATTAATGATAAACACAGGAAGATGATCTTGACTGCCGAAGTGTTTGTTTAGAGCTGTAGATTTTTTCCTGCTATTAAACACGCAAACTAACTCTGCTGCGATTTAAGTGCAAATGTCTGGGTCTGCTTCCCCTCGGTATGCCTCAAATCCTGCACTCTAAAATCTGTTTTTTTAATAGAATGAAGTGTTTTCTTTACCCGGGTAGCTGCAGGCACAGCGTTCTATCTAATCTGAGTTCCATGCTGTTTCCTGAGCAGATTCACTAAATGTGCTGCAAGACACAAAATGAAGTTTTTTAAGGCATTCATTTTCTGGAGTAGGAACGTGTTGTGACTTTGTAGTGTAGTGCACTCCGTGTACAGAGAGCCCCATTCTCTGAACCTTTCGGAAAGTTTGCTTTTGCAATGATAAGCTGTAATAGTTTCCACACTGGAGGGCATCATGGCAGTGCAGTGGGTATCAGTGCGGGGGTCCTGGGGTGCTATCTGCATTGAGTTTGAATGTTCTCTCCGTGTTTGCGTACATTTCCTCCAGGTGCTCGTGTTTCCTCCCACAGCCACACTGCTAGGTTAATTAGCAACTGCACATGCTGGGATTCACCTCCATTTGCAACAGAAACAACTGAAATCGTTTATTTTATTCACCTTTTTGGTGTTGTTATGAGAGAAAAGTCAAGTGAAGTAAATGGCTTAACTGTCTTAACATTATTAAATAGAGAACCCATTCATAGTTAGCTTAAGAACATGATGTTACTGAAAAACAAACACTTCCCAAAGTTAAGTTACTTACTCCAGAAATCTTTTTAATATTAAGCTAAACAATACACTGACTTGCCTCAGATAAAAAAAAACAAGATCTCTTCTCCAAACAAATATCAATCACACTGTTAAATATGTGTGATGAGAGGCCTGCACTATTCTGGAAACATACTTTTACTAAAAGGGGAAAAATGGAAAAAAAAAATTCCCAGGTAATGATGATGAAACTGCTAAACCAAATAAAAATCCCCCTAGAGACATCAGTGGGATCTGAGGTAGGCTGGAAAAAATCACTCCTCACTATTATTGTTGATGGGTCAAGAATACAAACAAAAAGGGATTTTTATTTTTCCTTCTCACGAGATGCAGGCGAAATGACCCACTCCCCAATTTCACGTGCTGTCCAGGAAGCGAGGGCTGAGTTGCTGTGGCTCTGTGCTGGAGGTGCTCATTTCCATTCCGGTTGTGGAGATGCTAACAATCGCAGTCTGTGCCCCTTCGTCACAGCAGGGTGCAGTTCACTCTTCACGGCCGGCCGGTGAAAAGCCCAGACTCCCTCCTCACCACAGTGGAGCTCAGGCCGCGTTCTCTTACCTGAACACACTGCGTACAGCCGACATGATCTCGCTAGCTGGCATGAGACCATTTTGCAGGTGCGGTTTCTCCCCTGGGCAGGAGACAGGGGAGGGGGAGGGGTTGCGCGTGTTCATGAGCAATGACAATGTGTTTAAATCTTGCTCAGCCGGTGTTCCTTGCGTCTGCAGTGGCTTCAGGGTTTGCTTTGCATCCTCTTAGCTAAGGATAGTATTTCAAAACAAGAAGCAACTCTTTGGAGAAAAAAACAGAGATGTCTACTTTTTTAAAGGAGTGAGTGATCATTCCTGATGTTTAATGAATAGAGAAAAGAAAAAAAAAAGAAAGAAATCTGAGTTATTTGTCTTAAAGTCAAAAGTGATCTAGAGTTTCAAGACTGAAGCCCTCCGCTGAGCTCCCACAGTCAGCACCTCCAGCGCTCTGGCAGGAATGCTGTCAGACTGCACTGTCAGCCTCCGATGATCCTTCCTTCAGTGTCAGGATCTGCGTTCTCTTGTATTTACGTGTAAGATAAGCAATTCAGCAAGGAAACCCACTTCCATTGCTCAGTGCTTTTTTAATCGTTTGCAGGGGGAAAGGAGTACTGCAGGAGTAGCTGGTGGGCTGCGTCAGAAGATACTGTAACAGCAGCAGCACTGAAGCTTCAGGACAACCTGGCCACAAATCTCTGACCTCCTCTCCCAAGCCTTGACCACTACATGCTTTACACTACAGCAAGGTGGAGACTCTGCAGGCCCTATTAGCCCTAGAGAAGGTTACAGGGGGTAACAACGTTGCAAAGCAGAAAGAGATGCGAGGAACTGACACGCTGGCAGACAGAAACTGAGAGAGATGTGGATATACTGTAGCTTTTTAAAAGCAAGCCGAGCCCCGTTGCTACCAGTGGGCTCCTGCTGCAGAAATCCAGCTCTAGTCAGAATCTGTCTGAATGATCAACGTAGGGGGGAGCTTCTGGCCAGCCGCACACCTGTCCCTGCCCAGGAAGCTCCCGGCTCTCCTGTGTGTCCAGTTGAACATGCGCCTTTGGAGTCTGAGAGACCCGTTCACAAGAACTCTTTTTCACAACACACTTCTTTCAGGGCTGGATCTGAGCCAGATGGGAGTGCCGTGCAGGATTCTCCTGTGGCTGGAGTTTCTCCTCTTGGTGCATCATTCTCAGACTTTCCTGCGTGTTCCGAGAAGATCCAGGCCCAGGGGCTTTCAGGATGCAGCAATTTCTTTAAGTGGTTAAAGAATGATTAATTATACCCTGACATGTTTGGAGAGGTTGTTTTATAGGACCCTGGGACCTGGAGCAGGGCTGGATATGAAGCTGTATAAACAAACAGTGGAATTCAAGCCGTTATTGCAGTGATTAAACCTTCCTTCCCTGTCTGATCCCCCTCTGACATCAGTCCACTGATGCAGAGCCAAACATGATGAATGTCTGATTCTGGTTAAATGCTGACTCCTTTGGGTCAACATTTAACCAGAACCAGCTGAGAAACAAAGGGTGAGTTGCCAATTCATCTTTAAATACATTTTTCTTTTTTAAGAACTTTACTTATTTTTAAACCTGTTGTAAGTAATCAGCTGGTTATTCATCATTCATGCCACATCACTCATTCCACTTTTTTCAAAATCTTTTCAGACAGGTCTTCATTTTAAAATAATGTCTTCATTTTATTAAGGTTCAAAATATAATGCCTATTGTCTTAGCTCACCTATGAGCCATGTTGTACCCTGAAACACTAATTAATCGAAACATGTCTGGTTTATGGAAACATTAAAAGCTCAACTTTAAGTGATCTCTAGAAGTATCAGAGATGCTTGCAATCTGTCTGTCAGTATTTACAGTGATCAAATAAAAAAGTCCTCTTCCAACACACGGGAACAGATGATTGCAGCACCGTGTCCAAGGCATCACAGGAGTGCTCATCCGACATGAGGCATAACTGCAGAACTATACATGTTCATATAAGTACAGTGACAGTTACATACAGCACGGCCTTCTACACAGAGACTTGCTTATTAGGCTCTGACTGGTTCTTTATCCACATTCCTCATGAACAAAGCTGGAAGGTTTGTAAGATACCCCAAGTATAAGAACAACAGCAAACAAAAAAAATACAGTATACACACCATCCGTATTAGCCATGTATGTAAAGATGATTTATTAGACAAAACGTTTTCTGCCAGCAGAAAAGAAAAAAGGAGTACATGTATATGTATTGTTAAAGGAACGAAACAGTGAAAGGCTCTGGAACAGTAGAAATACTGTGACGACACAGTGGACCTTTGCCAGGAGGACAAATAAGAAAGGAAAATTACACAGCACATTGCTTCTAACAATCCAAGTTTAGCTTTACAAGTAAACGGATGTTCTAAACCACCTATGGGATAAAATGCTATACAAAAAGCAAAAGCCCAGGTTGTGAGGGGAGGGAAAAGAGCATTTCTATTCCTTTCTATGAAAATTGTGTAGAAAGAAGTGATCCCCAGTAGCCCATTTCTGCAAACTGCTAAAAGCTCACGGACGAAACTCCGAGGAATGCAAGTGTGCTTTAAAAAACGATTGGACATGAAATGTCCATCATGCTCATTGTGAAAGCATGTGCATCCAAACCGCTTCACTGCAGATCCCAACCCTAAAAGCCTGTCAAAAGAAGTTCTGCAAGCACCCCGCAGGTAAAAGGATCTTAAACCTGTCCAAACCACAGAGCTTTTCCAATGGCACTCTGCAGACTTGGGTATAGTCAGAAAATAACAGCTTTTACTTCTGTAAATTGTGCTTTAAATGTCAGATGCATTTTACTTTCCAGGTTTGCCTTCTGTTGACATGTGATGATTTGGTCTTCTGGCCTTTCCACAACTTGTGTTATTCAGCTACAGCAGCGACCTGAATACATTCAGCACAGAAAATCCACTTAAGGCACTTCAGCTCATTTCTGGGGGAAAAGTTGATCAGAACCCCTGCAGAGTCAAATGATTTGTAACAGCTCGTCAGTGATGTGTATCCACACTTACAGGCTTTAGGTCTCTAATCTATATAAGGAATTACTTCATTTGTAGATTAAGTATGCAGTAGCTGGTTTAGAAACCAGATCTTGGCCACTTTGGTCCAGACGTCTGCCAGTGATCTCCCAAGCCAGAGAACTGTGAGCTACATTAATGTGAGCAGTATTAAATGCCACTGAAGAAAAATATAATGTGCACTCATTCTGCTTCCAAGACGCCCCACAGTTCATGTATGTTTTATTTTTTTGTGGTCTTCTAGTGCTGTGGATATTGAATAAGGGAATACTGGCTAAAAGAACAAGCATAAATTATTCTTGGAAAGAATAATTAGCTAGCTAGACTTGCGAAGGTTGAAAGAAATAATGTGCAAATTTTGTTTCTTAAATTACAAGATAAAATATTACAAAAACAATCAAGTTTTGGCAGGAATAATTACAAAAGTTGCTTTGTGGTTTCCTCAAAATGAGTAAAAAGGCACAATTCAGCTTTGAACAACCTCAAGTAATGGCACTGCGGCAGACGAGCTCACTTCACGAGACTAAGCCCGCGACCTCGCAGGTCAGAACTTCCCCGCCCTTGGTCCGTCCAACCTGCCAGTGAAACTGCTCTTGTTTCTGGGTCTTCCAGCAGTGGACATCCTTCCGCAGCGTGATTCTCCTGATGCTGGGCAGGTGGCTCAGCACGCTGTTTGGCAGGGACTTCACCCCAGAGTGGGACAGGTTGAGCTCCAGTAAGGAGACAAGGCCACTGAACACCTCCGGGCTGAGGAACTTCACCTTTGGGTTGCCTGACAAGTCCAGAACCTGGAGGCTCTCAAGTCCCCTAAAACTGTGAGGCTGGAGCTCCAAAAGCTCAGGAAGGCTGCTGAGGGAAAGGTGGGCCAGATCCTTCAACCCTGCAAATGCATCCCCTTCTATACGAACGACCGGATTTCCATCCAGGTTCAAGTGTCGCAAGGGAACGTCCCGCAGCTTGGGCACAGACGTCAGCCGGTTCCCCGCCAGGCTCAAGGACTGGATGTTTGGAGGGGGAGTCTGGGGGCTCCTCCAGACGGCGGTCAGGAGGTTTTGGGACAGGTCCACGCTGATTGGCTTTCCGTGGCCCTGGGACGTGAGGATGTCCAGCCTGAACTCGCGGATTTTGTTGTGGCTCAGGTCCACCTCGGAGAGCGGGAGGCCCGAGAAGCACCCGTCTGTTAGATCCTCGAGAGCGTTGTGGCTCAAGTCCAGGGTCTCAAGGTACCGCAGCTTGGAGAAGGTGCTCCTGCTGACCCCCGTAATGTGGTTGTGGCTCAGGTCCAGGCTGACAAGCGTGGTGTAGCCCGGCCCAGAGAGCATGGAGTCCGGGATGGTGCGTATGGAGTTGGAAGACAGGTCCAAATAGGTGGTATCCAGAGGAATGGGAATTGGGGCCACATCAGGACCCACTCCGCTGCAATCAACCTTGGTCAGGCTGAAGCTGTCAAACAGTCCAAAACTCTCCACCTCGCACCGGCACCCAGGGTAGCAGTTCCTTACTGCTCCCACATAAAGACTGAAAAGCAGACACAGGCTTATCCACAGGGTCAAAGCCATCTCCTGCTGCAAGAAAGAGAAAAAACAGGACATGAGTACATTCTGCTCCTCGGGACGGGCAGGGGGATCTCAGCTCTGGCAAATTCTCTGACCTCCTGACCACAGCTCACAAGAAGCAGCAGACTCCAGTAACAGAGAAAGGGCAGAATGCAAATAAAGTTTCTGCTTGATTACATAGAATGACATGTAAAGAAACAATATTCCATAGCATCTCATGCCCTAAGACACTTTATATTACCTTCAAAATTCAAAGCACTAATGCATAGACTTTCAGTAAACACACAGCCACCCTGCTCTCCACTTTATGGCTCTTAGCAGTCTGTTGGACAAATTTACATTTTGTAGAACTGATTGTAGTGGTCAAGGTATCAATGGTTTTTTAACCTGAAAAGGAGTCGGTCTTTCTGAGACGTCTAATGAGCTAAGTGGGTCTAGATTGGTTTTCACCTGAAACATCTGCAGACAATTCATAACAGCTATTAACAAGTGTAAAAAACAGAATTTTCCTGGTGACATGGATCTTGTATGCTTAATGGGGATTGCTGTATTGAAGCGAGAGCCCAATAACCAAAAGACTAAATCATAGACTGCTATTTCCAAATAAAGCCAGTTCCCACAAACACAGGGCTCACATTTATCTGATAGCAGTTTGCTTGCATGCATCCTTACATGACTTCACTGGAAACAACTACTTTAGCTTTGGATACCTCTATTTGGAGGTATAGAGCAATCAGCTCTGCATGAAATGAGTATGCATAGATCCACATAATTTTCAATGAGTGAGATACAGAACACAATAGCAAACACAAGTTAATTCTTCAGAGGATATTGAGTGATTAGTGCCAATACTGATGGAGAACTCCATAGCTCTTCAGCAAAGAACAATACTGAAGGAACATGGATCAACTTTCTGTTTGGGAAACAAATCGATTTTTATGATAGTGGCACAGACTATTTAACCAGTGAGTAGATATCTTTAAGAACAGCTCAGTGGATTGAGCAAATGGTTTCTGCATTCAGTAGAGTGATGCGAGGGTCAGAAAAATGCCAAATGAAACCTTCAGTGTTTTATGACCTTTGTTATGTGACCGCGGGAACATGGTAGGAACTACAAAGTAAAAGTTTGTAGGTGTGAACAGGTCAGCCATTGACTTGAACATCAACTGTGAAAGTGTCTACTTTTTCACACTTCCTTTATCCTCAGAAGGAGCTCCACAATAGTCTGGCTGGGGAATAAATCACATTTTAAAGGCAATTTGGGGCATCACTTCCTACATTATGTTTAGAACAAAAGGCCAGAGTACATTTGCCTTCATCACAATATTGCAAACCTCAGACCTCACGTCAGTCCTACAATGGTGCAATGGAGTCTGCTAACTGACCACGTAATGTGAACTTCGTGTACCTGTGTCCACTCACCCTGGATAAGGGCATTTGCTAAGCAAACAAGAATAGTACTTCCTAGATATCGATCATCCCACAAATTCAGCTCATACTGGTGTATTGCAACCAATGTTTTTATAACCTCTGTTATAAAATGCATGTTTTCTAGGTAAAAGATTGTTGCAGATCAAAGTCTCTTTCCTTTATCCAGTATTACATTTAAAGGAATGTCATCTTTCTGAAGGTCTAACATAAGCTTGCGTTGAACCTCTACAGCTGCTGTGTGCCAGTAACACCGTCACAGACACTCATGGTGCCAGTAGGCTCCGCATGCACTCTCACACTGGAACAGGACAATATGAGCTGGCTTGAAAGAAATTAAACACTCCTGAGAGCACTGAGCAGTAGTTGGTATTCTAAATCCCTGTAACCTACTGGTAAGCCTCTGACAGTGCCTGGCAACAAAAGCATCACAAAACACTGACTGAATGGAAAACAAAACTGCAACATATTCACACTTCTTCACAGAGGCCGTGTAAGTATGACATCCCCTCTAAGGCAATCAGACTTAACTTGGGTGGCTATGACAAGGCACTGCGTGCCAAGCAATGCTTACTGCTGAAGTAGACAAGAGGTTACTGCTTTTATCCGAGTTGGATACACAGTGGCTTAGCCATCTTTTTAGGATAAAGGTAAAGTTACATCATTGAAGAAGCAAAAACAAGCAAGCCAGGCCCACTTGAAGTCAAACTGGGCTTCTATTCAACTTTCACTGAATTGTTAGCTGTTCAAAAACCAGGTGCAAAGTTCTTTAGAATGAAAACTTATGGAGCTCAGCCAATGTAATTCCTGGAGGATAATTGTTCATAATCTTGTGGTTTCATTTCTAAATTTCCAAGAACCCCAGTTTTGAATTATAGGTTTCCCCACATACAAAGGAATTAATGTCCGTCTTTTGAACGCACTCAATATTAATGCTCGTGGGACAAAGAAGCAGACATATGTGATGCCAAGTCTTTTCTTTGCGCACACCTGAAGAGGCTGCTGGAGACTCACGACAGCAATTGTATACAAAGAACCAGCCGGTATCAGACTTACATGTGCCGTATTGATTGTACGAGGAGATTTCACACAATCTCAATAGAACCTTAACAAATGGCATGAGAGTGCCTTGACAGTGGGTCAAGTTATTTTACTTGTAAGCAGTTAATAAGTCAGCAAATGTTGCATAATCCTACTAGAATCCAATGCGAAAAAGTGCAAAATCCAGAAACGAGACTGCTTTGGGTGGGAAAGTTCCAGAGGCTCCATACATGATGGCCTGTGTGATTGTGCGATTACACAATCCTAACTGGCAGACTAGCATCATCCCGGCGTCTGATGAAATGATAGGACATTTACAATGAGCAAAACTAGAAATCTGTAATTTACCAAACGTTGGGTGTAGCCATGATTTGCGGTTTTCTCTCAGTACCAACTATAGAGCAAAAGGACTGGCCAGATTAACCGAGTGTGTCTGAACATCCAGCTGTCCGTCTGCTCTAGTGCCACAGTGCGTCACTGTGCAGGTGTAAGAAAAGCCTATCAGGAAACAGGTGGCACCTGGATCTAAGCGAATTTCATATTTGACGGTCAGTTTATGATTGTTTTGTACGACACACTCTTTTTAGCCACAAAAAGCTATGTTTTATTTAGGGTGGAGATGCAGAAGGAAAAAAAAGTAATCTCATTCCAAGTTGTATCTGCCAAGTGAAAGTGTTTCATGTGGGATTTACTCATTACATTTCCCATCTACGCGGCGCTGACGCGTTTCTTTTCTTGTCAGAATTGCCACAAAGCCAGAGTTCTGCAGATTCAGATCAAGGATTAGAAATAATTACATCAAATCCCTTTTAAACTGTTACACAGCAAAGCTCATATAAACAGCTGATGCGTTTTCTTGAAAATCTGCAAAGCATTAAAAACTACATGCAGCACACCCTCCTCTTTGATATGTTCTTTAAATTTTACCTACTGCCCTTTCCCTACTAATTTTGTGAACAAATCAGTAACTGAAGACAGAGATGGGCTACGTATTCAGGCCACAAAGTAAACATGCCATCAGTTGATGGCCTTAATGTTTAACGAGCTGAAGTTGAAAGTCACAGATTTGAAAATGGGACACATTGCAATTCTAAAAGTCTTTTAGTGGAAAACAATAGTTAAACAGGTAACAGTCTGAACAAGATGATTTTTGTTTCGTCTCGTATCAGAGAATTGAATCGTCATGTGGTGCGGAAGTTAACGGCTTACCAAACATATCCTAAACACATCTTTGCTACTGCAATAGCAAATGACTTTCTCATAGCTATTAACTTACTGCACACATCGCTGTCCTCCAAAATAATTACATCCACAAGGCAGCAGTCCTGTGCAGACAAGAGCAACTCCTCTTCGACAGCAGAGGAAACTCAGCTTCTGTGCTTTCAACTCACCATGTCACCTTAGAACACAGATACTCTGCTCTTATTGGAAGGATGCAGCTTGCTGATCAGTGATAACATGTGCTTTCCTCATGCGGGCCTGGATGAGCTACTTCGTCATGCTGACTCAATGTGCCGGAAGTGATGCAAGAAAATATGAAGGTGCACTTCTTAACACACTTGAACAAGGCCTTGGCCTGCTGGGAGGACTGACAAAGGCTTTGCATCCACGGTCTGGACTGCTGACACCACTCAAGACACTGTTGAATACCAGGACACCAAGGCCAAATCCCTTTGCACAGTCTGGGGAAAACAATCATGTTAGACTCTCTAGGAATGCAAGTTTGTGTAAGCTTTCAGAATCCACCGTCTAAAGACGAACTCTCCAGCTATTGCCTGGCAATGAGACTGGGAAGAAGTCATGGGCAAGTCCACCACCATCAGGACAGGCAGGACTATTCTGCAGGGGCTAATTGCAGCCGACGAAGCTGACCAGACCAAAACACACAGCGAAGATCCCGAGGGCAGCTGTGCCTTCGATTTGAGCCAAGACAGGCTGACGAGAGGCACTGGGACATGTGGTCCTGAACCAGATGTACAGACTCTGGAACAAGCCGTAGAAAAGGCACCCAAAACCAAACACTGACTGTGCCACTGACGTACACTTGTACTGCCATTCTTAGGACTGCCATAGAAGAGATGTAATTCCATACGGTTACTACAGCAAATATAGAAAGTGTGGTCTTCAGCTCTGGACCCCACAGTCGCCAATGCAGTAGAGTTACTGCCTCTTCTTCAGCTACACCCAGCTCTTCACCAGAGGACAAAAATCAATGATAAGGTTTAAACCCCTCCAGATACTGGTGATTTAAAATGACATAAAACCTGCAGGATTCCAGACCCAAAAGCGCAGAGCGGGGAACCCCTGATCCAGACATTAAGCAGCGCCCCTCTTTTCAACTGGATTCAAGAACTGGATTCGGGGCACATTGAGTAACTGCTATTAAAGACTTGTCTCTTGCGTATTAAGGAAACAGAAATGACTTAAAAAGCTTTAAGAATGTTACTGTATATGTTCCTGTGACACTACGTCTGAAGAAAGTCGGTGTGAGGGAAGTATAAAAGCGTATAGAGGTATAAAAAAGTTACTGCGATTCCTGCGTCCTTTCAGCACCTCAGTCGGGCATGAGTCCAGTACACCAACCCGTCTCAAACATTTCGCAAACGAGCCATCGTAAAGATCACTTTTCCACAAAACGGCAGGCGTACACGAAGAACACTGAAAGATTCAAAAGAATAAAAATAATTTTGACAAAGAACCCGTTGCTTCGTTTGTGTGAGAGCGCAGCGGCATTCCGCGCCTGAACCCGCAGAACCGAAAATAATCTTCAACAACAATAATACAATTAGTTTAAAAAAAATCCACGCCGGACCACAAATCGACCAGGGCTCATTTTATGAAAGGACAAATTATCCCTGAAAGAACAGAGAGACATTTGACCTGCAACCAACTTCAATATACAGAAATAACTTCATTCCCTTCTTAGCCCGGTTCGTGTCTTTACCAAGCGCAATTCAGGTGCCAGGCTCGGAAGTCCCTGCCACCTAACGTTGGTCACGCCATGCTGGCCAGGTGACCCCTTTCGTATCGACGCGGGTCACGAAGCCACTGGTCCGGCGGGCGCAGGGCAGCGAGGAGCCGAGCCGAGCCGAGCCGTGGACGGACCGCTCCAGAGGGGGCCGTGCGGGTGCTCGCGCCGCCGCTATCAAATTACTTGCAGCCGTGGCAGAGCGCGTCCTGCAGCGACCTGGCTCCGGCTCGCACTCCTGCTTCCCCGACTGCCGAGCCTCGGTCCCCGACAGGTCTGGTACCGGAGCTGTGCCGCCGGTGCAGGCGGTACCGGCACAGGCGATGCCACATTTTCAGACCCGAGAGGGCAGTTCGGTTCTGAAACCACGCGTGCTCCGCTGTCCAGTCCCCGGTGCCCTCAAACATCTGCACTCAGTGTAAAAATGAATTCACGCCAAAAAAAGGACCACTTTATAAAATAACGCGACAAAACGCCTGAAACGCGTAAAGCTTTCTGTGTATCCCACTCAAAGCAATCGCTAAACCGCATTATCGTCAATGAGTTAACTATATTTAAGCATGATTTTAAGCGTGCACTCGTTTTAAATAAAGCAATTACGCAGTTTAGAATAACCTTTTAAACATATTCCTTTTCTACTTCCTTACCTTACAGAGAACAGAAGCCGGTCCACAAGTTGTTTGATTCGCTCTTTTCCCCCAGGATGGTCTGTTTAACGCTCTTTATTTTTTAAGGTTCTCCTGTAATCGAGCAGATACTCTTGTCGCGATTTTACTTTTAAATCTCATATTTTGGGGAGCACAGCTGAGTCTTTAGAGTTCAGTGGGCGTCGCTCCTTTTATTTGCACAGGCACGGTCTGTCCCAGCTGCCAAACGGCACAATCCCCCCACACGATCCCACCTTTTGTCCAGTTTCGGAGTCGTCCTGCGTCCCGTCTGCCCGAGACCCAATGGCTAACAGCTCCCGGCCGCACGGTGCCTGCTCCAGTCTGACCGCTCCACACGCACACCGCTCTCTAGTGGCGAGATCCGCCCAGGGGCCAGCTCGAAAGAGCCAACTCCCCGCGAAAACGAAAACAGCACGGACTCCTGTGATGTCATCTACCTGCCCCACTTACACACACTCCCCGTCTGGGCAGAACGCCAGGTACCCCCGAGTCCAGCGGTGGCCAGGTGTAAGAAACCCCTTTCGATTAGCACCTGATTAAGACCAGCAATTTTTTTTAAAAAATGCTGATTGGTCTCGCGTCCAATATAATTGGTTCAATAAAGTCATTGATCTAACCAATCAATGACTGAGATCAAACGCATCTTCTCCTGGTTTGGGACAGCGGGCGTGTCAACAGGTTTTGCAGCACACTAGGTCTCCTGAGAACACCCTGGCCCGAAGAACTGCAAGGAGCTGTGTAATTTCTCCTTTTGATAAATAATGAGCTGAATGACGCCATTGATTGGAACGATAAGAATTGAAACCAAACCCAACACATTCCTCCAGGACCAGTATTAGAGAATTGTGCATTTCTCTAGTATATTATTATTACTTACACTGATATTGCGCTTTTCTATCGGGTCGATTAAATATGACTTTGTACCCACAGTTGAAAATTAAACCCGTTAAGCGTCAATTTGAATTAGTGAATCAAGTTAATATATCTAACTTTATCCTTAAACACCTAGCCTCTGAAACCTTAAACTGTAAGAGAACATAAACCGGCTAAGCAGGTAGTGCCATTCATGCACGACCCATCTTCGGCAAAGCGCACCGGGTCACATTTCTCTACGTGTTTCGTGACTGCGAAGGAACCGTGCAGGCGTGTTTCTCACACACGGGCCGCAGCACAGGCACCGCGTGTTTCTTTCCCCGTCGGACGGGACCATGGGCCCTAACCTGTCCCTTTGCGTCTTACGGATGACGACGCAGCTCCCTGCCCGAACTGCTTCAGTCGATTCCGTCACTACTACTTCAGTTTTACAATATTTCACCCTTCACGCGTTTTCTGGCGGTTTAAAAGGGTGTTCATGGGGTCTCAAATGGAGGAAAACTGGAAAGCGTAAAATGTCAATGGGCACCACATGTCTGTAGTACTCCTACGTGGCGCTACTCAGATCTGCAGTAGAGATTTTGCAAAATGGCAAATTCATTAATGAGGTGATTTTAATTTTTGACGCACGGTTTTAATTGATGGCGCATGAGAAAGAGAAAAAAAACCTTGTAAACGTTATCGGCAGGATGCGTAGTTTCACAACATGCCCTAAAAGTTTTCAGAGCCGCCCTCCGCCTGCAGCACAGCGCAGATGTGGGCTCACGCCCAGGACGCGAGGCTGGGGGTTTGAACGGGTAGTTTCTGCTCGCAGGGAAAGGGGCGCTCCAACAGTTTAAACTGCTGTATAAAAATCACATTTTTATACATATAAAACGTGTATACAATCTACACATTTCTGCCTAACTGATTTGTGCATCTCTTAACAAATCTGCCGGACCCGATGGTATGGTACCAATTGGGCTTAAGAAAATTAGCTTTGTTAGCCATACACCGCTAATAAACCCTCCCGTCCGAGACACGGGTAATACTGGGCGTTTGCTTCAGTAGCGTTTATGCATAAAATTGTGGCAAAGTCCACCCAAATGATTATAGACCAATAAATCTCGGTTCAGATTTCTTAAAAAACGAAACGAGAGGATTTACTGTAGTTTATCTGTAGTATCACCTTTGTGGAAATAGTGTTCGAGGGGACGTCATTCTAGATTTAGATAAGGGAGGTTAACTGGGTTATTAGAGTTCTGGGAGAAGACAGCAACAGTGGGTAGACACAGAAAATGATATGAAATATTTACATTTTCGAAATACCTTTGATAAAATTCCTTATAAAGAATTCATCTGTATAATGATGGTGGTAGGCGCTCAAGGAAATGATTTGTTTAGAATATCTTTATGTCCAGCTATGTTACCAGTTACTAGAAGGTCTCTGCTTAATGAAGCAGCTTAGCCCTGTGTTGTGCTATATAGGGTATCCCAAAAGTCATTTTTGATGAGAGGAGACCGTTCGTTCATTATTGGGAGAATTTAAGTCCAGGACGGTGCAGTTTTGCCCAAGAGACAGTGAGATCTCTGTAAAAACAAGCACATATCAGGATGTGACTGGCTTGCAAATATTACTGTCCTAGAAGAGCTTTGTCTACGCTCCATTCCCCCAGCTGTGTCATGCTTGATGCTGCCGACTGACGGGGAGAGTTAAACATGTTTGAGAGAGAATCCTGTGATTTCTGAATCTTGTTAAGTTATTAGGCAATGTTCTCAAACTAATCCTATTTTAATCCTTTGATGTTGCTCTTGTCAGCAGAGTTGCAATGCAAGGTTAAACAATCCCAAAAGTGTCTGACAGAGTTGGAGACGAAGGGGATTGAATCTCCTTCACTGTAAGCGGGAGGTGGGAGTTTGACAGCCCGGCCATTGCGGCGCCAGGATAGCCGTCCCAGTAAAACCCAGCGTTTTCACACCTCTTCTCCGCCTTAATGAGGGTTTGAGCGCACCGCAACATGGGGGTAGTGTGTTTAAGACTGAGAACAGGAGGTGTTTTATTGTAGGAGCCAGGAATCTCACACCCCTTTGCAAGACCAAAGTAAGCGAATCACCGCTAAACTGCATAGTTCAAGGTAAAGATATCTGTGCTCCTTTTTATTTTTAATATGTGAGGTCATGTTTTCTTGTAATTACATTGTGCTTTTCACCCTGAAGGATCCCAAAATATTCTACTCATAGAAGCAGCCTCACCTAGGAGACTCACGGCAGCTCTTCTGCACTAAAAGTGCACAGCAGGGGGGGAGTGAGAAACTGCTCCAGCAGCTCAATTAAGAGGCAGTTCAAACCCAGATAACAATTTAACCGGGATACAGGAGTTAACACACTAATGACGTACTTGCTTGAGTAACCAAGTAATCATCACCTTGGTTTAACAGCACATCTAAGAACAGCAGAGTGACCTCAGTGAACATACTGGGTGACTGGTTGGGAAATGTGTGTCTCGGGAAAACAGCAGCAATCTGGTTTCCTTTCAAGTGTCCCATCCCACAGTAGTACCTCTCCCCTGCAGAGCTCAGAGCTCTTCAGCAGCATGGTGAGATTGTGAAACAATCCATGAGCATTAAAACATCAACTCCGCAAATTAGCTGAAACCCTTTGCCTCCTCCCGGTTTATCGCTAATCTCGCTTTTCTCCACACGGGGGCGGCAGAGATCAGGGCAGACATAGAAGTTCAACCAAGATCAAAAAGTTGATAAAATACCTTGTAAAAACTATAACCGTTTTTCTGTTTAAATTGGTTTGAATTACTTTTAATAAACATTTTTTTCACGTGATAAAAAATACTCAGGCTTGAGCTATTATCTAGATCAGTTTTTAGGAGTGTAATTTTTATCCACCCACACTTCTGTTATATAAGATATAAGATCCCTTTATTGGCCATATACAGTTTCTTGTATTAGGAAGTTGTCTTTTTGCATACACCACCTTACTCTCCATGAGACACACAGACAGGGAGAGAAGCTTAGGGTCAGAGCACAGGGTCAGACATTTACACAGCACCCCTGGAGCAGTTGGGGCAAAGGGCCGTGCTCATAGAATTCCTCTGCCAGCTGTGGGGTTTGAACCAGCAACCTTCCAGCCACCGGCACAGCTCCTGAGCCACAGAGCCATCTGAAAGCATTCCTGATCAGGTACTCTGCGACCTGACCTCTCTTCCTGAAGATGACAGCACAGAAAGCACACAGCTGCTCCTGACACGGACGCGACACCATTACATCACAGGCAGAAAATAATAACATTTAAAAACTCAATAATGTTCCCCAACAGAGAGCAGAAAATGTGCAAAATAAATGAACTGTAAGACACAAATACAAAAACAAATAATTGAGAGCCACCCAAAAATATCTTCCATATGCTTTTAAATTACACCATTTACATTGTGCTGTAACTTAATTGATTATTTAGCAATAACCCTTTTTGTCACACAAGCTATTGTCAGTGTAGTGTTCATGAGCCTTGTGCCCAGGCTTCTGTCCACCCTGAGCACATGAATGCTCTGGAGCCATGGAGAATCCAGCTGTCATGGTCCATGCAGGAAAAAAAACTACTTTTGAAAAGGTTGTGAGGCAACTCAGCTGCAGATCCTGGTCATGCCCAGTGTACAGCCGACTGACCTCAGCCCCGGGACACGAGAGGACACGTGGGGACCAGAGGGGGGAAATGGGAGTCTTTCTGGCACAAAGGGGTCCTGTACAAACACAGTGGGCTGCCCTTGAACCCCAGGGGCAGCGATATACAGTATTGGGAACATGCTTTCACAGAGCGGCTGAGGAGTTTATAGACCAGAAACCGGGGAACTGGGAGCTACAATTCTGGTGGAATCCAGAGAGTATAAAGCAGCATGGAAAGAAATTAAAACAAAAAGCACTTCCATCCTTAACCAGGTTTGTACCCGAAGGCGAGACAGACGTACAGTATAAGGAATAAAATGCAAGAACAAGAGGCTACTGTGTTACTGGGTAACAATGGCCTTGTAGAAGGAATTCTATTCTACATGACAAGAGCAGAATGACAGGGGGGATATACAAATGAGCACCTGTGCTGCAGAAAGACAAGTAGGACAGATTGATGTAGTTTTCCAGTTACTTCATTAGAAAACTGTGCTCACCGGAAGTTTTTTATTGTTAAAAGAAACTCACAATCTATTCTATTCAACATGAATATAAACATTTGTTCCATAATACTGTACATGTGTATCTTTTGTTCCTAATCCACGACACCCAAAGGTGAGAGACTTTCATACAGGGACCTTCTGGAAGACCCTGAAGGCCATTGCCCTTCACTGCTGTCTACCTGCTGCACTGCAGTCTGAAGAGAATCCCAGTCACTGATATGGGATATTTGTCTCCCAAAAGGAACAGCTGTCTGTTACTAAACTTGCCAGGACAGACAACAGAGTGAAGCCCCTGGGTCTCAGTCGGGCGGTGGAACTCGATCTTCATCATTCGCCTCACGGGGACTGCTCTTCGCAAAGCATCGTGCCGCTCTCGGCCGGTTACAGTGGCGGTCAGTAATGCTCTCTTCAGATGCTTTGTGCTCTGTTTCTGCTGAGCGTACAGAACTCCTTACCGTCTATTTCTGGAGGCAGGACAGAGGTGTCAAGGTGTAATTCATAAGAGGCTCATCAGCTTAAGGGATGTAGGTCAGCAGGGAATTGGAATCCCTCACTGCCGCTGACTGAGGGCCTGAGCACTTACCTGTCCAGGACTTACCTGTCCACTTACGCTCTGGGAGTGTTTCCAGCTGGCCCCCGAAGGTCTTCAACTCGCTCAGATGCACAGAACATTAACACGGTGGAAACCCACAGTCTAATTAAACCTTTAACGAGCTGAAGTGAGAATGTCTGCTACAAGCTAGAAACTCTGGATACAAGCAGCAGAAACCCCTGATGGGTAGACACCATACGGTTTAATGTTCTAAAAGTCCTTTTAGTTTTTGTAGAATAAGATATTGTACCCTTTCATTACTCAGTTAGAAGTAGATTTATTTCAGTTATTCTCCCAGGGTTGGAACATTACAAACTGTTTTTAACATAGTTAAACAATAAAAAATGATTAACATAGAAAGTGGTTCCTATTGCATGGTATCTACAGAAAGTGAAGCACAATGTTTGCAGAAAACACAAGAAAATTAATATAAATCTTCTTCAGCATCACCTCTTGGCAAGTAATTTATTAGTCACTACTATATTCGAGCTTCCTCTATTTCTTTAAACAAATGTGCAATCTCAGCTTTGTGACCATGATCTCTTAGTCTCCTGGTTGAGCCCTTAAGGAATACTTGAAATAAACAAATTAACTGATGCATGAAAATGGAGATGAACTCGAGGGATGATGTACAAGGGAGCTCTCTGTTTACTTTAATTATTCCATATGGAGCTGCGTGCTAATTCAATTGAACAGCAGAGCAGATTGTTGTTTTGAATACATGAGTCCAATTACAGCACCCCATGCTTAGACATGTTCATGCATCTGGCTGTGTCTCCATAGCAAAGCCCCACACTCAGCTTCCCAGTTTCCAGAGCTCCGCAGCCCCGCGCTGCGCTGACACAGAGAGCCTGTCTCTGGAAGAAAGCACCGCAAGCTGTTAACGTGCTGCGTGTGAACTGAGGAGCCAGAGCTGCACTGCTCAAGAGCCGAGGCTGAAACCTGGCACTGGCTGCAAATCTGATGCTCGGCCAAGCCGGTGACTCAGTGGAGATATAGGTGTGTTCACCAGGACAAATCTGTCAGAGCATTCTCACGGCTCTGAATGTGTCTGAAAAGTATTCCTGTCGATTCATTTCCCTTTATCACATATTGAGATGAAGAGGCCAGCTCTCATGTCTAAACAGGGAGCAGAAGGGAAAGGATATAGTCCTTACTTATTAAATTTATATTTTTAAACAAAAATAATACATTGTTGCATGTTTTTAAATATGTAAATGTAAAGAGCACAACAACACATGTGGGAAACTGTAGACCAGAAAGAATAATTAAGCCCATTCCTACTCTCTGCAACAGGGCAGCAGGGGAGCAGGAGGGCAGGAGAGCACAACGCACCGATATGGGCTGTAATAACGTTTCAATTTAAATAGATAACTGGTGCACTTAAAAATATGCGGGAAGCGTAGCGATCTTCTTTTGAACACCTTTTCTTAATTAAAAAAAATAAAAATCATTCTGCTTTACGAGATAATTTGTACCTCAGAGCTCGCTAGATCTTGCGTTCTTTCCTTGCTGTTTAAGACATTATTGGGATATAATAGTTTTCGAATCAACGGGTTCGACGTGTGAGCGTAATTAATTCTTTCGTAAATAACGGGTAGGGAACAGTGATGTTATTTTTATGTACAAATTAAGGTTAGAACAACAACACATTAAAAAAAACTTTCGATTTTTTCCTTTATTGGTAAAGTCTTAAATAAGACAACAAAGAAAGATGTTTATCGATCTGTGTCCACAGGGGCAGCTAAAGTCACGTTTTAGCTGGTCGTCTTTCGAGTCTCTCTAGGTTGCAAATTGTTTCCGAAGTTCCAACGTAGAAATGCAATCCTCTTACAATCTACCTGGACAGATATGGATTAGGTCTGCGTGTCCCTCCTGCAGCTCGACCGCAGGTCACATTGTAAGGACTTGAAAGGATATGTGTGATCCCGACCCGCTACTGCAATAATTCCGAGGAATACATTTGTTGAAGACGAGAAAATGTGAAAATACTATCAAATAAATTGAACAAGCTGTCAAAATGTTGCAGTCGCTCGCTAGTTGTCGCAGTAGGCATCGTGGTGTACCATATCCGCAAAAAATGCGTCTGAAGTTCGTTGGTCTCCCAAGTGCTGAAGTTGCCTCTAACCTCGGGCTCTGACGACGCAACAAACCATCTCCTTCCATTTCACACGCTCCGAGAAGCCCTTCCCGGCTGTCATGTTTATCCAGCACCGGTTGTGAGTTGTGTTGAGAGGTGTTTTTGCGTGAAGGTGAACTTTGTAGTGTCGGCATGTTTGGGGAATGTTAAGGACATGGGAGTCAAACGCCTCAATTCTTTGTAAAGAAGGCCAGCGACGAAGGAGATACGAAATATACGTGTGCAGGACAGCTACTTAAGATGTATTTTTCCTGAATCAAACCTCTAACCAGTCCAGAAGATGGTAAGTGACCTAATAATAATAATAATAATAATAATAATAATAATAATAAAGTTTTCACTTTATTTCTGCTTCTTCACAGTTTTGGCCTTTTGAAAGTCTGACAGATTCTTGAAATTACTGATGCCAGTTACATTCTTGTAATAGAATCCTCCTGCTGGTGACAGAATAGATGGCTATTTATCTTCAACAAACTTGAATGAACAGAAATTAATGCTAAGGTGCAGAAAACAGTTAGAACCATTGGGACTGAAGTATTGAAGTCTGTGTGTGGATGCAGGCAGGAGTTTCTCAGACATGGAGCTTGTGTGCTTGTGTGCGTTTCCACTAGGCAGGACCTGCAGTGTCTCTGTGAGCTTGCAAGGCTCGCTGATAAACCCACCTGCTCTCTTTTACAGAGGAGTCTCCTTCTCTAAGGCTTTGAATCACCCTCCTTCTGGATCTGGGCACGCTCGGGGGACAATGCGAAAGATCGCAGTCCATGCTAGAGGCTTTCTGTTGGCGATATCTCACCACCCCCGGTGGCCCCCCCTGAGAAGCACCCCTTCCTTCCCAGCCCTGCCATTCTCCAGTTGTGTGCTCTGGGCCCTCTTGGGGGTACTGGTGCTCCCCTCCAGCGTGCAATGCCTCGTCTTCAAAGTGGGGGTCCTGGGGCCCTGGAGCTGCGACCCGCTGTTCTTGAAAGCTCTTCCCAGTGAGGCCGCTGCGCTGGCGGTGAGCCGGATCAACAGTGACGTCACCCTGGACTTGGGGTGCAGGTTGGACTTCGTGGTCCTGGAGGAGGCGTGCGAGACCTCCAAGGCTCTGACGGGGTTTGTGGAGTACGAGAAACTCACCTCCGCCTTCGTGGGCCCTTTGAATCCTGGATACTGCGACGCGGCCACGCTGCTGGGCAAGAACTGGGACAAGGCCATCTTCTCCTGGGCCTGCATCAACTACGAGCTGGACAAGATCCAGAGCTACCCCACCTTTGCCCGCACCCTGCCCTCGCCCACACGGGTGCTCTTCAATGTGATGCGGCACTTCAGCTGGGCCAACATCGGCATTGTCTCGTCCAACGAGGATATATGGGTGGACACAGCCAGTAAAGTGGCCAACTCGCTCCGGAGCCTCGGGCTTCCTGTGGGCATCGTAACGTCCGTGGGAGAAGGGACCCAGGGGATCGAACAGGCGCTGCAGAAAATTCAAGCAGCTGGAGAGTTAAAAAGTAAGTGTGCTCTGGCCGGCAAGGTGTGTCACTGTCGTGATGAGCCTGGAGTGCTTAAGCAGAGGTGCTCATTCATGCAGACTTTCGTTAAGTCTTTAAACGTTTTAAATCATTTGCTGCTAATGTGTGAATACAAGCGAGGGTTGTATTTACATAACAATATTTTAAAGAAAATACATGCACCCAGGACATGCCCCTTTTAATTAATTAGATGAGAAAGACTTCCACGGCACAGCTGAGCACGATGCTGACAGACCACTGTGGTTTGTGTTGGATGGCAAAGAATAAAATTGTGGGACCAGTTGCCATTGCTGAAAACTGGAGCCGTATTTCTCATTGAAATTGTGACAAGACAATTGTCAGGTTGGCAAGTTCTTAAAATATATAAATATATTAGTTAATAAAACTAAGAATAAAGAGTTTGGCGAGTGAAGGTTGCAATACGATACGTTTAGAAAACTTTCTTTAAAATAGTAAATGTGATTTTGAGGCAAACAATTTTTGCAATTTGTTCCTAATTACTTTCTCAACCCACATGTTCTCCTTAACATCAGTTATGGTATAGCTATGGTAATCCTAATCTTAATTAGGTAAATGTAGGACATAACAATATATTGCTTTCCCTCATCTTTATGACTTAGAGGTATCCTACTTAATCATTCAAGAAGTTAAATAACAGAAAATTAGTTTTTGTGGTCTTGCTAAAGAGTAGGTGTGATTTTCCCAGATTGTGTTTTTTTCTTGAAATCACTACTGTGAGTGAGGAACAAAGTAGTGATTTGGCATCACTACTGTGAGTGAGGAACAAAGCTTTGACATCAGCTAAGACAATTTAGACTCAATCAAGGAGGATACCCTTTTCAGAATGTCTGACACTTCAGCAAAGGCAAAACAGGTGTCAAGAAGTACAGGTGTCAAGAAGTACACAATCTGATTGCCTTGAATGCCAGGCTCACGATTATACTGTAAACACATTATTGCAGACCAGTGTGAGTCTGGTGAGTTGACATAACAAATGCATATGAAATCAAGCAACAGCTCTTGCCTGTTTCAGAACTAACACGGAGAATGGGTTGAAGATTTCTGAAGCTGACATTCTCTCCAGGCACATGGTGATCTGACTAATTACTCATCACTGCAGTGCAGATACCCCCTGTGCACAGTATTGTGCCCTGCAGAGCCCAGAGCCTTCTCCACGGAGTGTGTGACACACCACAGTGCCTGGGAACCCGGGAGGAATTAGCAAGGGTAAACTCATTGAGAAAAGTGGAGAGCAATCACCTGAGTGTCAAGGTCAATTAGTTCAAGTTCCTCCAAGAGAAGAAAGAAATTGTTAGAATTAATTAAACTTTATTGATTATCTGCCTTTCATAAAAATGAATAATATTGTACAATCGTTCTTTAAGGACCAAAATGTAAAATCTAAACAAAAATTCAACAAAAAGTATCAGTATATATCAGATAATAGATGTAATAAAATCAATGTGAATGTCAGTTTATACCAAAGTTCTATTTGCAGTGAGATATGAAAAGAGGCAGGGACTGGGGAGGTCTGATCTTACAGGGAAGAGTCTTCCTCAGGTTGGGCGCACAGCAGATGTGGGCTCTCTCACAGATTCATAGTCTCGCTGTATTTCCACTAGAATAAGACCAAGCTCCAGACTGGAGATGCTGCGTTCTCAGGACACCTGGGTTGTAGTAAAGTGCTCTATGACAACTTGGCATGCAGTGCATCACAGCAAACAAGTCTGGATGAAACACAAACATGAACTACTTTCTCTGCAGCAGATATTGACAGACAATAGTGATGTGCTGGACATGCAAATGAAACATTTTGAGTTCAAACTAAGGCCATAAATCCTTCCAGAACCTTTCACTTTATCACGTTAATCAATTCAAAAATCATTGATAGCTACTGTATACTAAGACTTTTTGATTCTTGCATTGGATGCAGAAAACCTAGTAAATTTACCTCAGCTGCAAAAATTATGTTCCATCTGAAGTATAATATCAGTTTTACAATTTACTTGCACAAATGCAGTCACTTCAGTGTCAGTGGTGGTTTGAACATAAATATGAATATGATCAGTTTAAAGACTGAGTTTCATACCATGAGGCTGCAAAATGCCACAGAAGTGAAGCATGAATAAACCACACAGAACAGGACCAGGTGTGGAACCCAGACAGGCGTCAGACAAGCCTGGCTAAGCAGCAGACTTAAACCCACCCAGAGAGATATGAGAGCTGAACCACCAGAGAGCAGCACCAGATATGTCAACTCTCCAGTCTGTTGGAAGCAAGGGGAATATAGCAGTATTTTCGCTGGCACTGAAGTCCAACAGAACTGAACTGGAGAGTACATTTTATTAGCTTTGTTGTGCCTTTTGGTTTTCAAAACTCAAAAGTGAAAACTATGCTGGGCCATGATGGTGGTGCACTGTTATTGGCGTAGTCGAATAATATTGTAAACGATCACCGATAAAGGAAGATACTTAGGAAGGCTTTGCAAGAACAACAGTCTGCACACCAGGCCCATTCCCGATTTATTATTTAAAGCTGAAGCAAAATACACAAAAGGTTTCTTTGGGCAAAGCCTGACACTCATTTACAAAATGTCAAGCCAGCCCCCAGCTCCAGAGCTGGTCTACCAACCTTACTCAAACTGCTCTAAAATAACACACAGTGAGATTATCTTTTTTATATAAACACATTCCACCTTTTAAGTCATTCATTTTAGCAGCTCATTTAAACAATTCACAAGAGGTGTAGACGATATACTTGCAAGAGAACAGTGTCTCTTTGGTGACCTCAAGTGGCCACACCATGGTCATTACGGCATTACGGTCTCTGTTCTGCAGGAGACTGCCAGGAAATAGGGTGTTTCAGTGCCACACATGCTGTGGAGAAAAGCATCTCCTCACAATCAGACACTTAAGGCATCACAAGGAAGACAATCACCATTGGTTTCTGCTACCCAGGACACGTGACTGTGCTAATTGGTACAAGTGCTTACAGGATTATTTAAATATATTTTTAACCAGCAGCCGTATCAACCTGCAACACTCAACTGGCAGCTCACTGAAGCTCTGCAGGTGTGAACCTGGTCAGTATGTGGATGGGAGACCTCCTGGGAAAAACTAAGGTTGCTGCTGGAAGAGGTGTTAGTGGGGCCAGCAGGGGGCGCTCACCCTGCGGTTTATGTGGGTCCTAGTGCCCCAGTATAGTGACGGGGACACTATACTGTAAAAAGACACCGGTTTGTGGATGAGACGTAAAACCGAGGTCCTGACTCTCTATGGTCATTAAAAATCCCATTTCTTGAAAAGAGTAGGGCTGTAACCCTGGCGTCCTGGCCAAATTTCCCATTGGCCTTTAACAATCATGGCCTCCTAATAATCCCCATCTCTTTACTGGCTTCGTTACTCTGTTCTCCTCCCCACTAATAGCTGATGTGTGATGAGCGATCTGGCGCACTGTGGCTGCCGTCACATCATCCAGGTGGGGCTGCACACTGGTGAGGATGGAGGGGATCCCCATTTTAAATCTGTTTGAATCTGACCTGTGAAGACCACAATGCCTGATTCAGGACTATCTCACCCACCAGTGGTACTAAAACAACTAAACTGAAAACTGAGGAAAAGGTTCTTAATGCATTTTCAGTCTCTGTGTGGCTGTAAGTGTTACCTGCTAAGATAAGATGTCTCATTGCACAAAAAAATGAAATCTGCTTAAATTAAATCCAGCCTCCCCTAACAACCCCCCACCAACAGAAACTGTGTTAGTACTAGAAACATTTTTTAATTGATGCCATAATGCTGCCACACAAACCTTCTGTCAGGGTGTTGAAAACTCCATAAGCTGCTTTGAGATTTGTTTAGATCTGCTGAACCTAGAGGTCTGTGTGCAGCTGCAGATCCTCACCAATGCCTGTGAAAAAGTAATGAAATGAATCCAACAATTTGCCAGAATGCTGAAAAGTGATGACAAGACCAGTAAAAGCCACTGCTTTCTCTGTTGCAGTTATTATCATGTGCATGCACTCCCTACTGATCGGAGGACAGGAGCAGGCAGCTTTCCTGCTGAGAGCCAGCGAGATGGGCCTCACCAGTGGCAGATATGTCTTCGTGCCCTATGACACGCTCCTGTACAGCCTTCCATACCAGAACAGCTCCTTCTTCCTACTGAGGAACGACAGCAAGCTACAGGAGGCCTATGACTCTGTCCTCACCATCACTGTGGAGTCCGACGAGAAGTCGTTCAATGAAGCCTTCAACGAGGCCAGAGCTATGGGTGAAATAACAGCACCTCAAGACCCAAGTCGGGTATGTTCTGCTTTTTGACATTGGTCAGCCTCCACAGTCTCATGGCCTTTTTGCCAGAGAACCTGAGAAGCAGACAGCATTGTCAAACTGTTGAGTCTGATGTGTATCTGCAGCTGGCCTGTGCAAGTAGTCTTCGTGTACCTCTTCCAGAAAGCCATGCCTTTTGATGGCTTCAATGAATGAGCCACAGCTAGTCAATGTTTTAGCACCCCTGATGAGTCCTGTATTTACAGCAATATAAACTGAACAAAGTGCACTTAGAGGAGATCTATGCCTCTGTTGTCCAAACATAAACAATTCTGGCAGCCACATTTATCAGGGCCTCACAGAAACACTAAACAATTGCATCAGAACTCCTGTTTAGTCTTGCAAAGCCCAGCCTGTCTGAATCATGAGTCGCTCGTTCTCAAGCCATTGGTCTCCTGACTCATGTCATTTGTATTCTAAGATGACATTCGCTGACGTAGGGGACAGACATTTATCAAATGGACTTGACCTCCTCTTGGTACTGACACTTTATTAACAGGGGACTTTAGTTTTCACACAAATGCTGGTTCTGCCTCAACTGCACAGTGGATGAAGTCTCAATTAATTTTTTTATTATTGTTACTGCTTTTATTTTTACCACTGCTCATATATGTGTTAATCTGAAATCCTTAGAGGGACTGTCTTAGTTGTAATTTTTTAATTATGTGCAGACTGATCTTGGTAGAAACTCTTATTCTGAGTATAAGGCGCACTATGGCTGCCGTCGCATCATCCAGGTGGATGCTGCACATTGGTGGTGGTGGAGGGGAGTCCCCATTACCTGTAAAGGGCTTTGAGTGGAGTGTCCAGAAAAGCGCTAGATAAATGTAAGCAATTATTTATTATTATTATTATTGACCACTGTGGCTTATTCATTTCGTCTAATGAAAATGCAGAGAACAAAAGAGCAGGTCCTCCTTCTCATGCTTACATGCACACAAGCCTGCAGTGTGCACAGGGATTCAGTCCCGAGCTTCTTGGTCTTTCTGCTGCCATGGGTTTTGATCTGAGGAAGTTTGGAAAACTTAAGGCATAATGCACAAAAACAAAACATTTTTATCTTTATAAGTGTGGCCACATTGGTGCAGTAGATTTATGATTTAAAGTTCAAGTCATTCAAGTAAAAAATATTTTATCTAGACACGTTTGACGACGTTTCATTTAATTTTTCTTCTTGGCAGAAGGAGTTGATTCAAGTTTGTCTTGTATTTCTAATCCAGGTTTCACCGTTATTCGGAACCATCTATAACGGCATTTATCTCATGGCCAATGCCATCCACAATGCCAGGAGGTCTGGCCAGTGGATTTCTGGAACTAACTTGGCCTCGTTCACCAAGAACATGACATTTAAAGGTTTCAACCAGAGGATCCAGACAGACAGTCGAGGGGAGGGTTTGACGAACTATGTCATACTGGACACGGACGGGCAGGGGAGCCAGCTGTACCGCACCTACCTGGTGGACATGACCTCTGACCTCGTGCGTTATGCAGGCCGGCGCATTCACTTCCCAGGAGGCTCCCCGCCCAGTGCGGACTCCAGCTGCTGGTTTAAACCCAACGCCATCTGCACTGGAGGTAATGTGTTCTCTGTGAAGCAGCAGAAGTGTTTCCTGACGCCATCCTTCATCTGTACAGCCAGAGGAATGGTTACAAACAAGAGGGGTCTTCAGGGTCTTCTGGGCTGCCTGGTAGTTAGTAGTTAGTAGTTAGTAGTTTATACACTCCGGGTTCTCATCTTTTCTTGGAAGAAGTCAGGATATTGGCTTCAGCAACATGGCTTGTTCCCCACTGCCACAGCCCCTTGTCGAAGTACCTCCTGTTCTGTTTTAAATGCACTTCCCTGCAGTTTCCACTTGTGTCCCCTGGTTGGTGTTTTACTGTTCATTCCGAAGAAATCTGTTGGGCTGACTTTGTCGATACCTTTGAGTAAGGTCCTGTTTTGATTATTTTCTGTCAATCAATAAATCACTAGAAATGTGAAACACACAATAGAAGCACTGCCCCCGAACTTCACTTTAGCCAGCTTTCACAAGGCACACAAGGGTAGGAACAGAAGAAGAAGTTTCCTTTTTTAGTGATGTCTGTAGAGAAAAAACACTGTTTGTAGACCTGGGAGGGTTTAGGTCTGTTTGACAGTAAAACACCAGTGCCCTGGTGTGGGTCAAGGATAATCTCAGCGGCTCTGCAGAGACAGTAACTGTGTTACAGCTCAAACCTGCAGGGAGTCAGGGGAAGTGCAGGGGAGCAAGGGTCACGCTGACGTCCCCCTGATCATACAGATGCTGTCGTCTCTGAACAGTGGTAGCAGCATGAAAAGGCAAATGGAACATTTCATTTCGCGTTACTGCTTCACTTGGAGCATTCTGGAGAAAGATGTGGGCCTGACAATTTGTAATCCCTCTGTGAATGATTTTTAAGAGAAAATATGGGGTTATTACTCTGAAAAAATGGCCATCTGTTACACTCCCAAAATGTAACAGAAATGGTTATAGTGTCATTATTCTCTTTACCTCCACCTCTCAGCTGAAAGAGAGCTGACTGAGTGCTTTGCTGCTGTGGTGCTGACCCCCATGTCAACTCAGGGGACCTCAGACATGTTTAGGAAAATTTCAGGAACCTGTGTCCGAGTCCTCAGGGTTCTGAATTCTAATGGAGCTCATTTACCTCTTTCAGCTGGGCCTGCACATATGCTATATGCAAGAGTGGGCAGAGTGCTGTGTAAGTCAGTTCAGGTCAGTTGGTCTCTCCACTCATGAGAAGATAAGAAAGGTTCCAAGCAAACAGAGGGAATTAATTTTAGACCATCCAGCTTGCTTGGTAGTTAGTAGTTATTTGATCTCAGGATCTTATCCAGCTGTTTCTTGAAAGAAGCCAGTGTATCAGCTTCACTCCTGTGTGTTTTCCTGTCCCTGATAAATCACCCTGTACCTGTATACCCAGTATACAGAGCATATGCACACCAGTTGACAGTGAAGAAGACAGGTGCATCAGCAATTTTCCTCAATTAAAGATATTCACACAAAAATAACAATTTCAATGCTGCAATTTGTTTGTGAGATAAAACATCTTTATATTTTGTTCTTGTTGTTAAATACCCTGAAGTCTTTTTTTCTCATTTCTTAACAATTTGTTTATAATCCTCACTGAGTGCCTGCTGTCCTTCTACTAATATTTGATTAGAAAAGAACACAGATAATGAAAACAAATTAAATCCTATTAACATGCACACTCTGCATGTTCTTTTTTTGTGTACGAGAGGATTAAAGCTGTTATTTAATCAGCAATTAACCCTCAGTAAAAACACAACAGTTACTAAACAACCTTCCTCAGATCTGGGGAAGAATAAAAACCAAAACATGAACTTTGTGTAGATTTTGAAAGAGCTCTGTTTTTGTTTCTATTTCATGTTAAGGCTTTTTGTCTCTCTGTTCACTGGCTTGGATTGAATGGCACACCGAGCAAAAGGATAATATTGAGGACTGAAGGAGTCTTCTCTTCTTGCAGGGGTGGAGCTGACCTTTGTGATCCTGGTGTTCGTGTTCATCTTCCTCCTGGCTGTGGGTGGTCTGGGCCTCGCCTTCCTCATTAGGTGACTGTGTGTCCCCTCTGACATTCCTCCGCCATTAAACGTTAATTAGTCCAGGAGGTTTGAACTGCTGCATTTTAACGCTGGCATTGAAACTTAACGATTTTGTTCCTTAAGAAAGAAAGGAGGGGGTGTGAGTGTCGGGTGGCAGGTGATCACTCTGACATGACGTTGGTTTTCCAGGAGGAGGATCCAGCAGATCCAGCTTGTGAAGGGACCCAACAGGATCCTCCTGTCTCTGGAGGATCTCACCTTCATCAACCCACAGCTGAGCAAGAGGGTAAGCCCAGTGGCACTTGTTCAGTCCACAGTAGTAGAGTAAAGAAGCAAATATAACTCGAACACAGTCTTTCCTAAACCAGGAAATCATTCAGGAGTTGTCAAGTCCCCAGCCTCTCTCACAAACCTGTTTCCTTTCCTGTAGCTACAAGAAGCTTCAGCGAGCAATGTTGAAGGGGGATACATATTAAGAGGGAATTCATTATTGCTGTTATGCATAGTATTTTACGTATTATAATTCATTTTATTCAAAGCAGCTTGCATTGGCTCCTTTTTATACAGCAGTGCATTTCGCTAGAGCAATCGGAGTGAGGTTCCTGGCTCATGGGTACAACAGTAGTGTCTCTCCTGGGATTTGAACCCACAACCTTCCAGTTACAAGCCTAAAGCACAAAGCACTACTGCTCCCTGCTGCCTTTATAGTGCAATTGATTAACAGTCAAGCTGTTTTTCATATACTGAAACAGCTGTAAAAGTTGTTTCATAAAACAATTATACATTGTTAACAACTTCAGTGATTTTAATAAAGATCATGAAGATCTCATAAAGGAAGTTTACAGTGAAATGAACTTTTTTAGAACCTGGATTTCATTGATCGGGGAGCCAAAGGCGAAAGGAGGAGCTGGCAACACTTCTCTCTGTTCTTCTAATTGTGTCTTCCAGAAACTCACGTTGGATGACCTGAGTGATTCCAAGAGCACGATCGAGGGAAAGAGTGTGAAGTCCATGGCACAGTCTCAGTCTGTCAACAGCATCACAGCCGCGACACACGAGTCCTCGAATGTCGCTGTTTATGAGGTGTGTGGACAACGGAACGCAATGCATCCGCTTTTTAAAAAGCAGGAGCCAACTTTGAATTGTCCATTGACATCAATGTCTGATGTGATTAATAGGGCTTGTTTGGCTTGTATGACGCAGCTTCATCAGGCTGTTAAATCCACAGTGATGGAAGAGCAATGCTGGTGTGATGGTGATACAGGGGGCGGTGTTGTTCACCACAGTGCACAGTGCTGCAAGGGAGGACTGGGACACTGTGTGGCTCTTGGGCCAGTAGCAACACTGATACACATACTTTGTACAACAGTGTTCAAACTTTAATCTTTAGTGTTTAAAGATGCTCAATATTATTGGCTTAAAGAACCCCACATAAATTGGTCTGTATTCATTATAAGGTGTAGGATTTCTTTTATTGAATAGTGAAGTTTTGAAATAAAGCCACTGAGTATAATTCTGTACAATAGTACAAACAATGTAATTTTATACTTTTAGGTTTTGGGTTTAAAATGCGCTGTATCCTTTTTTTCAAATATCCGTGTATCCTCAGGAATATTGATGAACTGTTCAGTTCTGTTCCACTTTCAGCAAGTTCTTAAAATCTCCAAAAACGTCTTATCATCACTAAGGTTATTCTGATAGTCCAGTTTTTCTTCTTTTCCAGGGAGACTGGGTCTGGTTAAAAAAGTTTGAGGATGGCACCTTCAAGGAACTCAGGCCAAGCTCGACCAAGATTTTGACCAAGGTGTGCTTGCATACATACAACGTTTTTATCAGCACTTCACACTGTTAAGGACACTTCACAGACACTTGTGTCTCGTTTTCACCACCCGTACACTGCTCCTGCTTGCATGTGTCATCGTCTGATGGAGGTCAGCTGTGAGGCGGGTGGCACCTTTATCCCAGTGCTGACCGATGGCTGGAGTGCGCCGGGCTGCCAGGGAGCTCTAACATTGGGTCTGTGCTGTGCTTGACCTGTCCAGATGAAGGACCTCCGCAACGAGAACGTCAACCCGTTCCTGGGCTTCTTTGTGGACTGCAGCATGTTCGCCATCGTGACGGAGCACTGCTCTCGGGGGAGCCTGCAGGACCTGCTGCGCAACGATGACGTCAAGCTGGACTGGATGTTCAAGTCCTCCCTCCTCCTGGACCTCATCAAGGTGCCCCCTCCGAGCGTCTCCCCCGTCCAGACACAGGGCCCAAGCGTCAGAGGCATCGTGGGTGGTCACTCTCGGTTCTATCTTCTCAGGGCATGAAGTACCTTCACCACCGCGAGTTTCCCCACGGGCGGCTGAAGTCTCGCAACTGCGTGGTGGACGGCCGCTTTGTCCTGAAAATCACCGACTACGGCTACAACGAGCTGCTGGACTCCCAGAAAGCTCCCAGAGCACAGCCCCCTCCCGAAGGTACTGTTTCAGACCGCTAGGCTGGTTTTGCAGGTTGGATCCTTGGACTGCGCCCTGGCAGCTGAACGAGAAAACTACCAGAACACGCAAAGAACACACAAAGCTACACCTCCCACCCCCAGGGTAACGTGTGATGGCATCTCCATCCCAAAGAAAACACCTTAACAGGAGCTGAAAGCTACTGCATCTTCCTGATTTTTGATACCCTGCTCTTTCTTTTTTCAGATCTGTTCTGGACAGCCCCTGAGCTGCTCAGGGACCTGGACAACTCTAGGAAGGGCACGTATAAAGGGGACGTCTACAGCTTTGCCATCATCCTGCAGGAAGTGGTAGTTCGTGGCCCCCCTTACTGCATGCTGGGGCTCCCCCCTGCAGGTAAGGAGTGACTAGGCGCTGTGCCCAGGTCCAGTCAGTCAACAGCACAAAGTACAGAGCAGCGTATTGGCAGGCGATTTACAACTAATGACTTCGAATTGGACTGAATAATTCGTTATGATAGTACTAATGACCCCTACACTACTTCAACTGTAATAGTAGAGGTGCTGGAGTTTCCAGTAGTTGCGGTCATGTTCAAAGTAACTTACAAATAGATTAAACAATATACTAACACTTACAAAGAGATTTTAGAATGCTTTCAACTTTGTCACCTGTTGTGTAAGGGGGAAATATATTTTCTTCCATATACGGCACCTATTCCAGACCCTGCCACCCAAGCCCACACAGGAGCTGGCCGTGTGTGGCCTGCCTCCCATGCGGCTCTTGTGTCTTTCCCCCAGAAATCATCCGGAAGGTGAAGAAGCCGCCACCGATGTGCCGGCCCACAGTCGCCCCCGACCAGGCCCCCCTGGAGTGCATCCAGCTGATGAAGCAGTGCTGGAGCGAGCAGCCTGACCGGCGACCGGCCTTCGAGGACATCTTCGACCAGGTGAGCGCCTCACGCCTCCCTTCTCCTGCTCCTCCTGCTCATTCAGCTCATCAAAACTCCCATGTCAGAAGGCTGTGCAAAGACCTGCCGTCGAGAGGTCATGCCCTGCCTGTGGAGCATGTCTAGTCCGATGTTAGACAGCCGATGAGAAAGCTGATGGAGTAAGAAGGGCTCTCTTACTGCCTTTGCTTTCTAGTTCAAGACCATTAACAAGGGCAAGAAGACCAACATCATCGACTCGATGCTGCGCATGCTGGAGCAGTACTCCAGCAACCTGGAGGACCTCATCAGAGAGAGGACCGAGGAGCTGGAGGTGGAGAAGCAGAGAACAGAGAAGCTCCTCTCTGAAATGCTGCCCCCGTGAGTAGCTGAAGCCATTGAACAGGCTGTAATGTCACATTGATTCATTTCCTTCTCTAGTGCTCCTTTGGATGATCTGTTGCATTTCATGTACTGTTTCCAGGAAGATAATTATACAAACCTCTAACAGGGTGCAAACATACTTGCTTCATGTGTAATAAACCAGTCATACAGAATGAGTGACATTTTACACACATGATTAGACATAGCTGAGGTTCATTAGAGAATCTGTGATTGTCAACATTTTTAACATTTTTCTTAAAGACCAATCTTTTCTGTAAATCATTTAATTTATCATTTATTGTTACTCTTGACTAACTCTTTAATAGGTTAATTTTCTGTGCATGAAAGAGGTGCACCAAAAGGAAAACAGAAAGTATCCCCAGCTCCATGGAAAACAGGCCCTCGCCAGTTTCAGATCTGCGTTTGTCTCTGGGACGTGGGACTGAATCCCATGCTGCTGTGAAGTGAGCTGAGGTTGCAGATGTGCTCAGTGCGCTCAGAGAGAGATGAGGCACCTGGTGGACTAAGTGCTGTAATGAAAGGCATCAGCACAGTGTTGCAAATGGGTAGAGACACAATGCTAAAAAGAGCATCTTCTCAAGGTCCAAATGTCCTTTTTCACACTATTTAGCAACGTGTTCCTGTTGTGTCAGTGGAAAAATCGAGTTGTTTCCTTGCTGTAACCAACACATCAAGCAAGTCTCCAAGGGAACATGACAGGAAATATGTCAAATTAAAGATTGTTTTTAGTGTGAAAGTGTGAAATAGACAATACTCATTTGTCATATACAGTATCAAGCCTCCATTTGGAATGCAAACTGTTTGTAAGAGTCAGATTTGCAGCCACTGCTTCAGTTCAGCTCGTGGACTGAGGACTGTTCCACTGACACGCCCTCCTGTCAGAGCCATTCCTGCTGTGGCCTTACAGGAGAGTGAGTGAGTCTCCCAGTGTCACTGCAAGCCAACAGCAGACAGCTGGAGGAGCCCTGTCTGAGACACACCACCCGACCTGAAGTTTTTAATGTGCTCCATGCTGGACAGCTTAGTTTTGTGAGTCAGTCTGAACCACATTTGAATAATTATTGCTCTCTCCTCCCGTAAATAATAGTATGTCGATACAGGCAGTCAGTTCCACATCCTGATACTGTCTTTCTAGCTCTGTTGCAGAGGCCCTGAAGACTGGGGCCACAGTGGAGCCAGAGTACTTTGACCAGGTGACCATCTACTTCAGCGACATCGTCGGCTTCACCACCATCTCCGCCCTCAGTGAGCCCATCGAGGTGGTCGACCTCCTCAACGACCTCTACACGCTTTTTGATGCAGTGCTGTGCAACCATGATGTTTACAAAGTAAGCTGAAGGAAGACAGCATGTATTTCTCAGCCCGCTGAGTGTAGTGCAAAAGAGACCTGTGAATACGGATACATAAGCAAATATGCTCTGTGACACCTACTGAAAATAAAACAATAAAGCTATAATATAATAATAAAAAAACATTTTCTTGTTTATTAGCTTGTATCTATGTCTGTCTTTGCCCTATAGCATCAGTTAGGAGGAGTTTTCCCTTTACCTCTACCTATTGAGGAAATGAAAGCTGCTATTTTTGATCAAGCTAAGCTCTGTAGATGTCTACTTTTGAACGTCAATTGCTTCCCAATGAATGAAAGTTCAATAAATACTCTGAGTTCTCAGAGTCATGATACAGCAGGTAAACAGGCTCCAATTTTTTTTTTTTTATTGTCTATTGGTTAGGAGACCTTTAAGTTAAAAAAGTAAGAGTGCCAAACAAGCATTTGTGTTTTGACTGATAATGGATTAAACATAAGTTAAACTTGAGTAACCCCCTGACCTTTCCCCTGCAGGTGGAAACTATTGGGGATGCATACATGGTGGCCTCAGGCCTGCCGAAGAGGAATGGCAACAAGCACGCGGCAGAGATTGCCAACATGTCTCTCAACATCCTCAGCTCTGTGGGCACCTTCAAGATGCGGCACATGCCTGATGTGCCTGTGAAGATCCGAATAGGAATACACTCCGGTGAGGAAGACAGCTTCCCTCTCACTGCACAGCTCTGCTCCCTCTCACTGCTCAGAGCACACAGAGTACTGCTATTAAGTCAGAGATGTGCTCCCAAAAACATCTTGGAAAGCTTAGGAATTTAGTGTCACTCTTTACAACTAAGTTGTGCATGTCTAGATCAACCATATCTTGAACAGGAAATTGATGCTGAATCTTTTGTGGTCTGTAAAATGTGGCTTTACTGGAACTGCAGGGGAATGTCCAAATCCGCTCTGGGTACAGTAGTCAATATTTTATAAGATGAAAGGAATATTGGGGATCTTATGAATTTGTAACCTTTATTGTGCTAATTTAATTTCTGATTTAGTTTTGCTTTTTCATAGTAAGCAACTATATTCATTAATTTTTATTACAGGAAAGAGAAATATTTTTCATACTTCACAAAATCATTTCCACATTATATATTGCTCATGCATAAAAACATTGTTGTTTAAAGTTCACAGGCGTGTCATCTTCTATTTCCGACAACATGACTTTTTCAGGCACCGACAACAGGGAAAATGTTACATTGTGTCGCTGTGACTCCTACTGGTCCTCACCCGGTTTCTCGTGTCCCCAGGGTCATGCGTGGCGGGCGTGGTGGGCCTGACCATGCCCCGGTACTGTCTGTTCGGAGACACGGTCAACACCGCCTCCCGCATGGAATCCACCGGCCTGCGTGAGTACAGCGCTCAGCAGCGGGAGGGAGGCCCTGCGCACACCCTGGAGAGCACGCCAGAGATCTCACTGGGCACTGCCGAGAGCCTGACTGGGCCGGCATGTGGCAACTCCAGTGTGCTCTCATGTGGTGCCCAGTCCAGTGGGCACCCCTCATGCCACTCTCTGTCAGGGGCTCTGCTGCACATACAGTAGGTCACACAGGGACACAGGACAGCACAGGGAGTAATTTCACCGTGACTGAGAAGTACTTTAGCTCAAAAGAACTAAGTTAACAATTTCAATATTTGATGTGCAGTATGCACACCCTTATTTTTCATTACGTATCTTAGCTTGCAATACAGTGTGTGTAAATTTTCTTTTAGTTATTTATGCTGTTGTTGTGGTTATTTTCAGCTTATAGAATTCATGTTAATCAAAGCACTGTGAAGATCCTCCGGTCTCTGAATGAGGGGTACCAGATAGAAGTCAGAGGGAAAACAGAGCTAAAGGTATTGACTTCCTCTGTCCCACTGTTCAGAATCCCATTTGCTATTACCAGCCCCAGAGCTCCTTTGTATCACAGTGTTATAGATCTGATTTCCATTCCCCCAGCTTCCCTTGCTATGAGACACGTCCGTTGAACAATGCAGGATGCAGGCACAACAGATTTCTGTGTTAAGTCATAAATTTACCATTTCAGCAAGAGGCCACACACTCAATAATTCAGTATAAAGATTTATCAATCTTAATGTGTACTTGGCTTTGTGACATTGCTCGTTCTGCCTTTCCCCCTACTGTTCAACTTTTCCTTTGCTGTAGGGAAAGGGCATTGAAGAAACGTACTGGCTGGTGGGAAAAGCTGACTTTCTGAAACCTTTGCCAAAGCCTCCAGAAATCAAACCAGGGTAAACGCTACTATTGGGGATTTTGTATGACAGTGTAAGAGATAAAAACAGAAGCAGCACTTCAAATCAGGCTGTGTACATTGCAATTTGAAAGGTTTTATAAATTAAATATACATTTTTAATGTAAGAATTGGGTGACACAAGTGGTCACCAGCCTCTAAGGTGTATGAACAGGATGTTAGTCACAAAGTCATCATCCTAAACACAGCCTGAACCATATGTAATATTTTATAAATATTAACATTAATGTAATCTGCTAAAATTTGTGCTGTAGTCAAGTGTAACTGAGACGTTAACTAAAATGTGATATAAAAGAGATATTTTTTAACATTTTTCTTTTAACAGCCACAATAAGAACATTCTAGAGGCAAAAGAGAGACTGTGTCAGGCATGATATGCCATGTTTGTTTTGCTGGCGGGTTTAGTACCGCTAACAAATGGGGCTTGTGCTGAGCTCTGTGTATTGTGCCTGCTGCAGGAGTGCTAATCACGGCCTGGCTCTTGAAGACATAGCCCAGTACGCAAGGAAGCAAGCTGAGAAAAAAGCTTGATATCAAGGGGAGAGGAGGAGGTAGTGCTCTGCATGTGGTGTCATGTGAAAAACAGTGTTGTGAAGGTTGTTGTTATTGTGTGTTTGTGTCTGGTGGTGTTGATTGTGTACACATTTTGCACAGGGTCTAAATATGCTCTGAGCCAAAAGCCCCACAATAAACATGGCCGGAAATTTGGACCCTGCTTGACCATTGACTTTAATGCACTGAATTTGTACTGTTTTGCAAAGTATTCTCACCTGGGGTTGGTTCTGACCAGTACCTGTCTCACTGTGAAGGTGGCTGACAGAAATCTGCATCTCACTCTTTCAGGGACAACTGGCAGGAAATGGTGACTGACGAGATCAAAACAATCTTCCGAAAGGCCAACAGGAAGGTGGACAAACCCAAAATCTGAGAGAAGGGGACCGACGTGGAGTGTGAAGTCCAGCCAGGGAGCTGCGTGATGAAGGGACAGAGGCCATTTGCTGCAGCTTACAGAGAGCACTTTAATAGGATTGATCACAGCCTGTTTAATCCCATTCTGCCCAGCACAGCAGAAAAACACAGACCGGTAACAAAATTAAAGGGCTTTGCAGAGTAGGAGATAGGAGTATGTAATCAAGTCTGATACATTATTCCCCTTTGAAAGGGATTTTGAAACATGCAGCTGCTCCCTTTCTTAATTTTGGCCACCAAGTGGCTCTTAGTAAGAGTTAAGTTAAAACGTTCAAGAGTGAGAACACTTCAGCCACTTCATTTTCATCATCATTGTAATGTCAATTGTGTTTTTGATTGTATACTGGAGACGGATGTCAAAAGAGCTGCTTGTGAATCCTATTGTGAATATCATTTTTAAACTAAAATATACTGCAACTTTTTTGTTAATGTTTTAATTTAATACTGTAACAGTGGCAGTTCATGTAAATGTTCAGTGTTGTTGGTATTCTACATCACAGAGGGGGAATATTGTCTTTACTGGTAGAAAAATGTGCTCTCTCTTCCCTCTCATCTCTGAGTTTCAGTGGAACAGAAACAGGCAGCGAGACTGAACTCTGGCACCTTACTAATCTCATGAGATTTTCCCAGGTTGCCCAAGAATGAAACCACCAGAACACCAGTCCCTCAATGTTCCACAGCCCACTCTTCTTGGGAATACAATCTACATCATCCTAAATACAACATCCTCTTATTGTCTTCACTGAACTGATTCTTTAGTTAAGAACTCAGGTCAGCTGTTTATAGATCTTAATCAGTTACTAATTTTAAAATATCTATAAAAATCATAGGACTTCAACTCTCAAGCACTGAAGTTGCCCCTCCGTTAATTCAGCTGTGTATTGCTAATATAATATTTTGTTTTTCTGTTAAAGTCATCAGTGGAAGTCATTCAGCAACTGTTGGAGAAAGTCGTCTCTCAGGGAAATGTTTTTATTTATTTATTCTTTAGAGGTATGTGTTTATTATGATACTTTATTTGAGTAAAAGATCCTTCTCAGGGAGAGAACAGAAAGGGACTGAGTGCATTCTAGGGTCGACCTGGTAAAGAATGATTTCCAAAGATCCAAATAAAAAAGAGTGCAAAGTCATATTAAGTATCTTTGCTTGCAGACGTGTTGAAAAGAAAACACGGGTATCAAAAGGTTTATTCCTACAGTGCTTTGGAAAACTGTGAGAAAGCAAGAGGAGCAAAAGTCAAATGAGAAGTCAAAATCTCATCAGAATTAAAAATATGAATTAAAGAGGAGATGTTTCCTGAAAAGACCACAGGCAGAAAAAAGAAAGACCTTTGGCAGAAATAACAGACAAATTGGAGATGGAATTAACCCCACATGGAAAAAGGGGATATTTTTCTGTGACATAGAAAAGACACAGGGAAACAGGAGGATGTAAGAAGACACCTTATTCTCATAAATCAGGAATCAGAAATGATCCACAAGAGTTGCAGTGAACTGGCTTGTAACCCAGGACATAATAAGAGATACTTGAATAACTTAAAAACATTTTTCCTTTATGAATCTTGAACAAGATAACATCTTAATTGCTTTGCTTGAACACCCTTAAAAATCTTTCATGTTTTTCAGAGAAAGCTGGTCAATGTTTGGCACGGCACAAGGAATTTACTGGACTCCCAAAAACACGAACAGGAAGTAATCATTATTCATGTCGCTTTGTAAATATTTGTGAAAGAAATATAATCTTGGACAAACATCTGGGTATCAGTGACCTATCTTTTCAATACAAAGCTCTGTAACTCTCAGTGGTATGATTATCACTCTGGATGAGTGTTCCAAGTGGGACAGTTCTTATCACAACCTTTGACTTACATGTGTCAGATATTTCTGCAAAATCTGACAGTAAAATAGAAAAATTATTAACTAACTAAAAAGTGTTAACATTTTTTAATAACTGAAGGCTGATGAGTGTCTTTTTCTATTTTCTCCAAATTCAAATATATTAAACATTTATCTCTCCTAGTGAGTGTAGGTAATGAGATGAATTTCATTTCACACTAGTCGTTTTTACATAATATCTAAGTGGAAGTAAAATGAACACCTTGTGTTGATTTTTATCACTGAATTGGAAACCAGCTACAGAACACACATCACTTTGAACTGTTCAACCTTAAGTAGATCTGCAAAATGTTTAATACAGCCTGCATATTGTACTTTCAGCAATTGTAGTCTGCAATTAGTCTGCAATATTTTTAAAAAGATAAATATATTGCTGCATGCACTGTTAACATGTAAGCTGCAATATGTAATCAAGTGAACATATTGCAGACTGAGATACTGCATTTGTTTAATGCACTTTGAAAACTAAGTCTGTCCTATTTTAGGGCATAATGGTAAAGATCTTATGAATGTTTTTGTTAGATAGCTCAATACGAAGCACAAAAGTATCCTAAGTAATTATATTCATAATTCATATTTAATAATTCATATTTAATAACATATTAAAATAATTCATATTTATAATGATAGTGCAGCTATGCGGATGTACCATGGGCTTTTAAACATCCTTAGGTTTGTAAGACAAACATGCAAACAAATCCTAAACTACATGTCAACAGTAAGAGTTAAACAACTCTTATTTTCTGAACTATACACAATGTCAAACTTAACAAGAATTAAACAGCCATATATCAGTGATGTAAACTAATTTGAAGGTTTCAAAAATGATTTAGCAATCTTCCAGGCTCACTCACTTGTGGTCCTGGGAAATAAAATCCAAATATAAATCTGAATTTGCAGTGGGGTATTCTTAGGAAAAACTGGCTTAAATTATATGCTGTTAAAATTGTTAGATTTTATTGTACAAAATGTAATTATACAAGACATATTGATAACTAGAGGATTATTTTTAGAGTGTACTTTATACTTTTGAAAGGTACAATTATATTTTATGGTGTATTTTCTTAGATCTTTGTGTAACACAAAATTGAAATGTAAATAAACAAACCTGATAATTTTTAACTTGTTGTCTTTGATTGAAGGACACTTTAGAGAGGAAGGAAAGGTTTGCAATGCTGTTGAACTTTTACATCCTTGTTGCAGTTGGAACAGCTTGCCTTTGCGTAAGAACAGCCTCTTCCCTTAGACTTTAATGGAAATGATCATCATGAGATATTAATATGATATTAACATTAGTGAAAATAATGTAAAAATGTTCATGTAATGCAAATCCAGACATGCAAATAAGCAGTTCCTTTAACATTTATTTATTTTTCCTGAAAAAGACAGTAGTAACAAGAACAGTAATTTAGGTGAATCGATTTCTCATTTCTGCACATAACGTATTAACCTTTTAGATATAAAGTGGATTGGAATCCTGTATAAATCAAAGCAATTATTCTGTTCAGACTGAAATACATTTATTTCCTATTCAGTTTCTTTGGAAGTACTTGTAGGACTACACTTTCACCAATAGATGGTAGTAAAGCTAAATAATACTGTACATTAGTACACGACAGCTCTGCCTTTGAGACCAGGATTCTCCTGAGCAGCTTCAATGTTCTGTCATATTTTTAAATCTCCTTTGAGGTGAGATTAGGAACAAACCCCAACGACTCAGGGGAAAGAGCTCTGTCAGCGAATGTAAACCTGCCCAATAGTCCAATGCAATAATGGACACACATTTTGAATTAATGTTGTCATTCTTTCAAATTGCTTGCAATTACATCCAAACCTCATACAGACAAACACATTAAACTGTTTTAAAACAACTCTGAACGGTATAGTACAAGTATGAAGAAATTGAGCTCTATAAAGACAGAACTCGTTTCACATAGTATAGAGAGTGTGGACTCAACACTATCATTAATGCAGAAATAGTCCTGAAACATCTGTCGCATTAGTATATTCCCTGTATTTTTAAAAGACTATAATAAAAAAAAAACCTTAATTGCAATTGTTTTTTCATTTGTCTGGGTTAGGGTTAGAGATAGGGTTGGCTCTAAACCGTTTTGAAATGCATGGAGAGAGGTGCAGTCCTACAGGGGGCAAACGTGTGTCAAAGGGTCCAGCTGTTCAGAGATGCTTCCAGCACTAGGACCCATGAATTTCTGCTGGCAGGATTAACCTTGATCTTTCAACAGAGAGACCTGTTAAAAAAAAATTCGAGACACCGACAAACCTAGCAGGTTGAGTAGCTGCCTGCTCAGCACTGTGATCACAGCAGCCCAGCGTTTCCAGCTGGACGCCAGGAATCCTAGCCTCTGCTCCACCAGGGGCTGGGAGCCGACGGGCTGCTGAAGACCGAGCTCTATCCCAGAGACACCTGAAATGCACAGGAGCTCATCTGGAGGAGGAGGGAGAGAGAAAATCTTGCTCAGTTGAGGAAGAAGAAAAAATAAAAGTTATTTTAGTTTTATTCTTGAGGAAGTTCTCCATTTTTATTTATTTTGGAATTTAAACACAACAGAAAATACGAATATTGCTAGGGACAGCCAGAAGGTATGAACAATCGCTTCTCATGTTTTATGTTCGAATGTAACATGATCGTATGCTGGAGAAAATGTTGTCTTAATTTAACACCTAGCATTTTTGCTCTACAATATGTTGATAAATAGTCACATTCTTCACGCTGAGAAAGGCTTTTTGGAGCTCTAAAGCGTGGGGAGCTTTTCCGTGTGGAAACGCTGTCGGTAACCATGTTAACCTTGAGCTCCTCCTGTTCCTCCGAACAGCAGGGCCAGATCCTACAGCTCCACTTCCTGCGCTGCTGCTGCTGCTACTGCAGACGGTCAGAGAGCTGCCGTTTCTTTTGTGAAGGCACCGACAGTTCTTGACACAGATTTAAAAAAAAAAACGTGTTAAAAAGATGTTTCTAGTGCTGTTGAATGAATGTTATGTGAAACGATCACATATATGTAATTTACATATATGTTCAGAGTTTAGCATGTAAAGGGCTCAGGCCTCTCTTTTTCAAAGATAATTTACAGTTGGAAATAAAGCATCTGTGTTTTGGAAAGACCTGCCACCTGACTTTGTAGTCTGATTTTGTGTACTACCACTGAAAAACAAACCTGAACCTGATTAGTGCCTGATTTGTGGTTTGCACGGTGTTAGACCGGGAAGTGGTGACTGGTCCTCTACACGAGCTTAAGACTGTGTCTTCAGAGTGAAAACTGCTCAGCTCACGGCTCCAGAGCTCGTCACTGAGTGGACAGAGGGGACGTGACCCCGCCCTTCTCCCACCAGTGGGAACCCATTCAACAGATTGCCCCCCACCCCCAGGAAATCCTGACAGCTGCATGTTTACACAGCTGGCTGAACAGGGGCAAACACTCAGCTTTGCTGAACACCCCAGCAGCCCCTGCGTGAGAAGTGAGGCTGAGACCCTCGGGCTCAGGCTCCCCACCCTGACCTCATCTCCACTCCCATCATAGCCTGCTCTCAAATGTGCAGAAGTCTTCAGTGTCTATTATATCCGTGAGACATTTGTTTTAGGCTTCCCTGTGTTTTGAGATGGAAAAATTAGGCACAGTTTTTTTTTCTTTTTTCCTGAAGAGGAAATGGCAGGCAGTGAGGCAAGTTTGGCATCAGCAGTGTGTCCCTTCTCGATTAAACCAGTGTGTAGCTTCTCAGCCTGGAGGTTTTGCTGGGAACATCTTTTCAGGCTCCGCTCTTGGTTTACACAAGCTACCAGACTGTCAGGGGGTGGTGTGTACTCACACTGGACTTCCCTTTCAATTTCACCATGAAGAACATATATTCAAGCTGTGGAATTTGTTTGTGGATCATTCATTTTACCTGGGTGGGATGCTGTTGTGGTTCTTTCTGTGAGTTTTGTTCTGGCCAGAATGCCAGTCGAAATGCTGTATTGTGTGGTACATGAGTTAAATGTGAAATAACTGCATTACTGGAGCAGAATATTGTGCCCCACAGCAGCACAGACAGTTGGCTATTCTATGTGTGTCCTGTCACTGTCATTGTATGTGTCCTGAGACTGTAACTGGGTGTTCATTTTACTATGAGGCACTACAACAATGATCAAAATGAGACACAACTTTTCAGTTGTTGGCGCTTCCTGTGAAATTACCTATAATGACTAGAAACCTTGTAAGCTCCTTCTTAAACAACTGTGTTGCTGTGTGCCAAGCATCAAGTGTGATCTTCTGGATTTTAGACCTGCAAAAGCCTCTAATGGGGAAAAACATCAAAGACCGATACGTAACACAAACATATTTTTAAATATATTTTATTGAAAAAAATATGAAAACAAAACTTAAGGTTTAACAGTCACACATTATCACATCATTCCAAAGGAGGGAGTGTGCCAGAAGCACCAGGGAGGTGTCCTGAGACAGCACAGGAGCACAGGAAGAGAACAGTCCAGTCAAACGGCTGCCACAGCTACTGCCTCGTGTTTGCAGGCTGGCTGGAGCACAAGACCAGGGATGTCAGTGCAGGTGGAAGAAGCGTAATCTCCATGAACAAAATCCAACTATAAAAGATTGTTTTTCCGCAGAGTCAATTATAGCACCAAATACTCCAGAGACCTCACAATATACTTGTGCAAAATAAATCCTGAACTCTTGTCCCTGTTCACTTTAAATGTTAAAGATATTGAAACACCCGAATACTTCACCAACACAGCACAAGAGGAGCCGAGGGGAATGTCATGGAAAGGTGGCCAAACCTTTCAAGAACCCCTGAGAGGAATGTTGTTCTGGAGGCAATTACCTGAAACAACCACGCTTAATATAAGCTGACTGGCCTCATCTGTGATCTACAATAAATATCCAAAAAATAATTAACCACAGGTCTCCTGTGACTTGATTGCCTGATCTCATTGGTAGAGTTAGGTGGCAATGTATGTTTTTTGGTCTGCAATAGGAATGCTTTTCAAAACACAATTGTTCAAAATATTCCAGAATAAAGCAAACATTTCTGGTGGCCAGCTCTGGGGAAGACAGTTGTTAAGTCAAAAATCTCTTCAGAGCGGCTCCTAGACATGTTTGCTTTTTCTGAAAAGTGTAAGGACTGGATGTACCACAGGTTTTGGTTTTCTAATGGAATGTGATCATGAGGTGACTGACATTTTGCTTCTCATAGTCATACTTCAATCTCACACACAAACTACAGCCAGACAAAACTATAACTCATCTCGCATTTTATCTCCTTTGGGCCTTACAAGCCTGCCGATGTAGAGGATGGAGTTGGTTTTATTGTCTTTAATGACGAAGATGAATGGATGGTCTGCGTAGAATAGTTTGGGGTTCCTCAGCTTCTCGCTCCCGTAAATGTTGGTGTCGAAGGGGTTGCCTTCAGTGTCCAGCTCCATTGCGGAGGCATGGAAGACATTGGACAGGTACAAGTCCTTCTTTCCAGAGATGTTGGAGAGGTCGGCCTTGGCTTTGTCCACAGCCTCTGTCAGGCCCAGCTCCCCAAGATGTTTCTGCAAGAAACAATGGTTTTGTTCATTAGAATATAATTTTGTAAATACAGCTCTCACAGAAAAACAATTCTCACATAGTTATCATGTGTTCTTTTTTCTTTTTGTGTTCTTGAGACGTGACCTTGATATTCATGCCTCAGTGATTCCAATGTTGTATTGAAGTCATCCTGTATCCTATTACTGCTGTGTCAATGTAGTAAAGCTCAGTCAGGTACCTGGAGGTTGTGACTGACTTCCATGCAGACTTTGGGCAGGGAAACGGCTACAGCTCTTTCCTCCATCTTGCTGATCCAGGTGTCCAACTGCTTGCGGGTCAACAGCTTCTCCAGTCTTTCCAATGGCTCCACATGGTAGGGCATGATGATGATCATGCTGGACATCTTGTGAGCCAAAGGCATGCTCAGCACGTACAGCCTCTTCTCAGAATCTTCATGGAACATGTAGAGTCCTGAAAGGGAAGAAAATACAATCCATTCAAAATGAACCTCACCTCTGCTCTGTTTTCAGCCATTCTCTTAGTGAACATGGTCTTCAAAAATCAATCAGCCTCTGAAGTCTATCAAACTCACCTGTGCGGTGCATCATGGGAACGGAAACAGTGTAAGAGCGTGACACCAGGAATCCACGGTTGTCCACCATCTTGTGGTGGAATTTCTCATCCCAGTGGGCTGTAACGGAAGACAAAGGAACGGGTATTAAGCCACATAGTAAAGCAGGGACTAGCTCAAATTCAGAAATAGTGTTTGCTTCTCAGCTCCCTCTTACCTGCCAACATATAAATGGATGGTGTTTAGTGGCTGACTATTCGATATAACAATGAACATGCCAACTGTGAAGCTTTATGAGTCATGAGTAATTAGTTAAGAGTCCCCATTTCACCTCATAGAGTTGAAAACCCCAAATTATAATTCTACTCACGCTTGAAGAACATGGCGTTGACGATCATAGCTCCATCAGTCTTCTCCACATCCTTGGTGACCTCGGGCAGCTTCCCGTCCGTGGTCTGGGCCGCCCACTCGTTGATGGACTTCACAGCGCTCCGCTTGTCCCGGAAGTTGATCTTGGAGTGCTCGTAGTTGTAGTGCTTCTTGCTGCTCTTGACAAACTCGTCCGCGAAGTTGACGGAGCTGGGCCCGTAGAGGCGGCTGCCGATCTTCCAGGTGACGTTTCGAGCGGTGGAGTTGCTGACCTCAGTGAGGAGCTCCGACAGGCCCGTGTGGAGCTGGTCGTCCTTCACTTTGTCGGCGCTGAGGACTGTCTTGGCCTGCGATGCCGTGGAGGATTTGCCCCCCAGGTGGACCAGACCCAGAGAGGAGGCTACCACTACTGGGGAGAAGAGGATGTTCTCCGCGTTCTTATCTTTGGCCATGTTGTGATAGAGGTTGAAGGCCAGACTAGCGCTGGTGTCTGCTAACATGCTGGCATGGCTGCTGAGCTTCTTCTCCTCCGCTGTGGCCAGAGCAGCCAGGAGGCTCAGAGCTACGAGCTTGGTCACCCACATGCTTTCTGTGATTGAAGGCAGCTGTGCAATCCTGGAAAACAATCAAAATAAACAAACAACGTCTTTATTATGTATTTATTCTCTTACTATTAGTGATGTTAATTCTTAAATGTCCTATTGTCCTGTGTAGCCTTTCCTGTATGTTGTCTGCAGGGCTCCCACACACAGAATTCCCCTGGCTTTAAATGAAACAGTAAATTGAATATCACATCCATAGCTAATCATTCTCTCGGACACTCCAGTCGCACACAACTAGACTCCAAAATAGCTTCTTCCCCAGAGCTGTCAAGCTGGTGACACCCCCACTCCCTCCCATCATACTATGATCTCTCCTGACTTCTTCCTGTACCCACAATAACTGTACTCCAGCACCACTACATACACGACAGCTGAATGTAAGCCGAAATTGTACTTAAAACTGTATTAGTTGTAATATTTATTAATCACCATATTATTTTTGCACTGTTCCCCGAATTACTTTTGCACTGTTTTGTCCTGTTGTATTCTTTCTCTGTTTGCGTATTTGCACAGTTTTGTTTAAACTGTTATGTTATTACATTGTTATTGTTATTGTGTTACTGTCTATTGTCTTATCTTCTGTTCTATTTATATACTGTACCTGAGTGACCAATGAGAAACACTTTTCACTATACTATGCACCTGTGTAAGTATAATGACAAATAAAGTTGAATAAAGTTGAATTTCAAATACCCCGCACTGATTATGATCAGCTTCTTTAAATTAGATGTATTAAGAAAAAAGAAAGGCTTTCTGCCATGAGAGATACTGGCAGGACTAACTTCATTCTTGGAAGATTTTCAACAAGATATGAGATAACACCTCACAGTCATAAGAGGCATATCTTGGCACCCTGTAGCTGTGAGGCAGATGCCTAGATTCATTACTACAAAATGGCACCTATGATGTATTACTGTTTGAAAGCAATGGAATAAAACAAAATTAGGAGAAGTACAAAGTTAATGCAAGATATAAGAATTTTTTACTTTCGGATACAAAACCTCCATTGCCTTTGTACATGTATTTTCCCTGTTCTTAAAGATACCCCTGCTGTTTGACTCTGATCTCTGACTCTGAGATGAAATTGATTACAATGTCAAAAGGAAGATAAACTGAGATCAGCAAGAGCTCAGACCAGGGTGTTGTTAAAAAGAGGCTCTGTGCTTTAATCAACAGTACAGTTAGTGCCTGAGGCAAACTTTCTGCACCCTTTGTTATGCACAGTCTGCATACCAGCCATCTAAACAAAGGGAACAGAATACCTAGCCTGAGGCACTTCCGAGTCACGCTTTTTCACAGACCACGTTCAGTCTCTTTCCTTTTCCTCCGACACTTTAAATTTCTGAGACCAAAAAAAAGCAGCAAATTGCTTAGCTAGTCAGTTTACAGATTCTGTTTCCATGTTTGTTTAACCTTTACATCATGGGATACCTTGAAATGTTTTCATATTGTAGCCAACGTTTGCCCTTTTCATTCTGAAAGACAAGAGTTGTATACAGTAATCTTCATACAGCAAAGGGGGAAATGCTAACTGAGAAACTGACTTACAGTAAACATTACTTGTTTTTTTTTTTATTTTTCACCCAAAATAAGAGGGAAAAGTATTTTTAATGTTTAGTATTACCTCACTGAGCCAATATCCCTATACATGTATGCACAAAATATTCTTATTGGCAGAAAAGGACCTCAGTTATGAACCTCTCCAATCAGTAGTGCCAGAGTGGAAAGTCAGATGCCTATTTCTAGAAGGAGATCTTGTTACACTGACAAGCCCCCACCCCTTTACAGAGATGATAGCCGCCATCTCCTTACAGAAATTATAAGTGTTACATTAAGCAAATGGGACAGTAATATAGAGTGGATCTGAAATGTACCATTTTCAAAAATGAGAAATAAACACTGTGAAAACGTTTACTCGGAACCAAAGTCCCACAAGTTAGGCAACACGTTGCAGCAACATATTGGAGAAAAGATGCTGTAGATGGGTGTTTCCTTTAACTGTCTTTACAGCAGAACTCGGAACAAATTTAGATTTTCTGCAGCACAAATATATTCCATGTAAAGACTACAAGTTTGGTTTCAATATTAGCTTCAGGACTTGAATATTGGAAATGCTTGAAAGAATCGGTATAGGCATCATCATTTTGAGAAGAAAACAGATTTAGTATATTGACATATTTACATCGAAATACCAAAGACTGGGTTAGACTGTCTAGCAAACCCTTATCTTATCTCAAATCTAATACCTCACTAATCCAATCACAGTTTTTTTTCCCAAATACTCGGTGCTCTAAGGAAAATCATTGCTATTTTTAGATTTCTACAAAGTGATTGAAGGAAGATCCTGTCCTCTTTAGCAGCAGAGATCCTTGCACAACCGCCAGCTGATCTTCCCAGCCTGGCGAGCTCCTACCTGCTGTCCTGCAGCTCTTCACAGGTCTCTCCCCTTCTTCCCGAGCGTCCTGTCCTGTTGGCTTCCAAAGATGGACCCTGCTCCAGGCCTATATACTCCACAAAAGAAATTTCTGGAACTGGGGAAAGGAATATTTAAATGAGGAACTCTGAACTTCTCACAAAGCAGGGATAAGACCTCCCACAGGATCCAGTTGCTACAGCTGAGCAAACGGTCCCCCCGCAGGGTCCTAATGCCTAAGACAGCAAGGAAATGATCTTCTACTGAAGGAAACTGTCAGTAAAAACACACAGAAGTCTTTTGAAACATTCATAGGATTTATTCATTCTGAACTACTGATATCCAAACATGAATCAGTATGCTCTAACATTTAGATTCATACAGAGTTCTAAATAACATACAATAGTGTGGTGCACATGGATCATTTTTAAACATTTTCTTCTATTGTACACATCTACTGTATGTTGACTCAGTGAGATTTTTCTATTATTAATTTTAACTAAGAAAGTGGAAATGTTGTAAATGACTAAGAATTAAGGGATGTCAGAAACTCTTTCTTTCTATGATGTAACAATACGGCACAGTGGCTTGATGGTTAGCGTTCAGTTCTCGAGTTCAATAGAGCATGCATACTTTCCCTCTGCTCCCAGTTTCATCCCCTTACCCATATCATGCTGGCTGAGCTCATCAGTGTCTTGAAATTCTGCAATAGACCTGTGTCCCATCCAGGGTGTAGCCCCATATAGGGCCTTATTCCTCTGGGATGGGCCTGGGTGGCTGTGGCGCCTGCCAGGAATAAGAGTCTCTTTGATAAAGAATGAAAAGCTGGGAAATTAACTGAATATTGTGATCACATTCATCTCAAGATGTGACAGGTATTTCTAAAATTCAGATCCTGCATTTCATGTGAAAGTGAACAGTTTTTATAAGATTCTCGATTGCAGTGCAGGTTTATACTTTTTATGTTTCAATAGAAGGGATATAGGGATAAATGCACAAACTTCCATTTAAAAGCAGATCTTAGTGGGGGAGGAGAAAGCAAAAAAACAGATAACGTTCGCTGCCTGACATCTGGAATTTACTTTTTCACTGGTTGGAACACATTTTACTTGGAGCATGCTGCAAGAGTTTGTTCTAGAAAAAGGCAGAGAGAGTGTTTTTTAGTTTGAAAAAAATGGACAAGACTTGTGCTCTTCTCCCCTCCCCCTCGATGTGCCACGTCGTAGTCTGGGCCCGGCTTTGGGGCTTGTGTGAAGGCAGCTTCCTCCGCGCTGCACGCAGAGTGAATGTGAGGCCTTCAGCAAGCCTGCTCCGCACAAGGAGACGGAGAACTGCTGTTGCAACACACACTGAGGGATTCATTCAGCTGGACACCACACCAGCTCCACTCTTCACTGGTAAATGTTACTCAAGATTTTTGAAAATGGAAAAAAACAACAAATGCTGTAAAAGCAAGTGATATCATGTGGAAATCAGAACAGAAATGTCACTTATTTCATCGTACAGCATTGCACCAATGTAAATTTTACTTTACATTATGTCGAGACTTTTTTTTCCACAAAATAAAAATGTAAAAAAAAATTTCACAAGAATGCTCATTACACTGGAGGAGCTCGTATGTTCTCTCCATCACCTGTGAGCTTAAACAGAAGACAAGAGTTAAAATGACATGCTTTGGTGACATTATTAACATTAAATCACATTGTAAATAATCTTGGATAAGGGAGTCTGCTAAGCAAATCAATGATAATTAATAATAACTCTTGTTACAATATGTAGGAATTCCCTTCTTTTCAGCTTGGGATCCAGAATACAGAAAATATGCTTTGTGCCTGTACTGTACAAAGGTCACAGTCTTCCCAGGCTTTGTGTGTAGAAGGACTCCTAGGAATCATAATCATCACTGGGAATGTGGCAAAGCATATTAGAAAAGCCCACTGCACTCCAGTAACAAAGCAGCCCAGACTCTGTCTGTGGAGAGCCTGTTCAGACAAGGCAAAGGTTTTCTGTGCTCCCTGATTCCTGCTGATCTCCCGGGCATGTTGTGATGTGGCTGCTGCAGGCTTTTACTCCAGAATGCTGAGTGAAATACCTTACAATATTCCTAACTGGTGAAAGCAGTTGTATATGTGTTGTTTTGTGCTGAATGAAGTAGCTTATTTTGCAGTCCTGTCACATTTGTTAAACTCATGGTAAAACTAACAAAGCACATAGGAGACTGGATCATTTTGTATTTTTCATAAGTGTCATTTGTTCTTATCAGAACTCCTGCTTTTTAAACTCTTAAATTTTCTCTTTAAAATGGAGGTGAAGCACTAACTAAATCTGGAGTAATTTCAGACATAGACAAACCTCCTTTGGGAAATAATTTTGTAAAGGTTTGTACTTGATTTATGAGTGCAATATTAGCTAAGCACCACAGCGTTTCCATGCTCTGCACTGGTTAAAAAGCTTGTTAGAATTTCGCCTTTCTGTCCTGGTAGCCTCTGTGCAGTGACTACAAGCACCTTGTGTTGCGCAGGCTTGGGAAAACCCAGTGAAAGGTCACGAGAGTTAAAGAGGGCTCTGTCGCCTCAGTGTGAACCTCATGGCTACAGGTGCTGATGCCATTTGAATAACGGAACTCCTCATCTGCACCCTGAGGATCTCCCACCCAGCTGCTGCCCAGCAGAGCCCAGTGTGGTGAAGGACACCTAGCTTTTCAGCCTGCAGGTTCCAGCTACTCCTCACTGGGACTTTACATTGCAACAAAAACACAATTTACTGTATTAGGAAATTCTTGCTTACCTTTGTGATTTTGGTTCCCTGTCCATAAAGAGATGATTCCAAGAGATTTGTTCAGAAAATCTGTTGGAATGTGGTGAATGAGTGTCCTGATTTGGCAACAGGTACTGTATACCAGATACAAATTGAGATATTTTGCACTAAAAACATTGTGCGTGCAGATCAGTAATGAGGAATGGTCTAAAACATTCACATCGGTTTAACCAATACTGTGAAAATCAAAGGTATGTGAATAATCACCTCAGTCATGAAAAACTGAAGAGGGATGCAGTTAAGACTGACAACAGGAGTAGGGTCTTTGAAGGCAGGGCAGTGTGAGTCTGGAACAAGCTGCCCAGTCACACTGTCAATGCTGATACCCTGGTTTCCTTCTAAATGGCTGGATGAGATCTTGGAGCACTTAATTATTAAAACCCAAGTGAGCTTGATGGGCTGAATGACCTTTTCTCCTTTTCAGCCTTTGGTATGTTCTTATGAATCACCCCTTTGTTTTTAACATGTAGAAAACTGCCCAGCCTGAACTCCATCAGCATAGTGCTGCACCGGTAATCACACTACATATCCTGTCCATTCTGCAACAAGCTCCAGCCTAAACCATACATACTGTATTTCACGAGTTTTGTAATTCGACTATCAAATTATAATGGGAAATTTAAATTCCATCTGTAGCTCTCTTTAGAATTAGATTAGTAAAGGTCTTGTTAATTTGATGCAAGTACAGCAGAATGCAACTATGTTTTTGCAAATTTTTAATGAGTGTATCTTCTAAGGTTCTGAGACTGTAAAACTATAAAGACATGCTGGGACGAACACTCTTCCTGTGGGATGGCTCTCATAGCCTTTCACAGACCTCTGGAGCCGATAATGACATGTTGCGGAGGGTGGAGTCTAGCTGGGGGCTCAGGCTGGGAAGAGAGGGGAGCTGACAAGTGATGCTGACCACTCGGAGTCCGCAGCTCCTGCGATGGGCGTGGAAAGACTTGTCAGCAACATCTAAATCACCTTCTTGTGCTCGGTGTCAGACTGACCTGTCAATACTGCAATCTCATGCACGGCATCTGTCTTTTAATTGATACATCAAAATAAATATACTAGTGTCTGAAATTATGAATGAAGGCAGATGGGGACATTTTGCACAAACCGCTTTTAAACTCTAACTTAGAAATTTATCGGTAATTTTAATTTTAATCTTTTCTAATAAGAAGAGAACTTTAAGCTGGAAAATGCAAACACTGGATTGCTAAAATCATGAGGAAATGAACACACTGGAGCAGCTGTGTAAAGTAGAGCGATTGTGTGCTTGCATAGCATTTGTGATTAAACAGAATTTCAAAGAAGACAGGCAGGTCTGGGCATGGCCTTCGAGGCCTCTGCGCATGCGAGTGAGCGCTTGCCTAATCCGTCCCTGTGTCCGTGGGGCTGCTCTTCTCAGGGCGACACAAACTTTGAAGACATCTTCCCTCCCATCTGAGCACCACACCGATGTTGTGTCTAACACAGAGGCAGTGGAATGCAGCTGATGACGCATTCGGGGGACAAAAACAAACAAACTTTTTAAGAATTTAGATTCTTTCTGTTGGAGACCGCCCCCTGTGTGCTCCTCTGTCTGTATTCCTCTCCAGAGCAGTCAGGCAGTGCGTGTACATTCCTGCCGTGCAGTAGTCCCAGTGAGCTGTGTGTTCTGAGCACGGTCCTGTGGAGCCTCTCCCAGACACAGGGGCGTCGAGTGGAAGTCTCTGTGCAGCACTGTCTTCGCACCATGAACAGAGCTTGTGCTTGTGGCTCCCCTGCAGGGAAGGCCTTCTCAGCTGCTTAAAACACTCGTTTGCTGTATTGCTTTTTTCTATTCTATTCTATTTCTATTCATATAGTTTCGATTAAATGCTAAAATTGCATTAGTAGTAAGGAAAACTCAAGAATAGAACATGTATAAATGTGTTTGAGGATTTGGCATTTTGGCACATTTTGCTGCTTGAATTATAGTAACATTGCATGGACACTCAGACTATGGTGTAATCATATGTGATCACCTTTTAAGATGTGAAATATTGAATATGTTAAAAATTAAAAAAAAATGTTTTGTTGCAGTAGTAGGTACAATAGCAATAGGAATTATAAAACTAATTGAGGTGTGAAAGTACAGTAGGATTTACAATTAAGAAGACAGCAAAGGGAATAATACAAAAATATTTTGTCACAAGTGTGACTTCAACTCCTGCCCTCTGTTTCGTATCTTAATCTCTAACTGGAGAGGGAGAAAGAACAAGAAAGAGAGAGAGGAGGGATGGATGGAGGGACATAAGGAGGAGTGGAAACAGAGTG